AGTTTGGCAATTATGCGGCATTATACCATAATTTTTAAATTATAGCTTGAAAACATAATATGTACACAATAATTATTAATAATTTGGTCGCAGTAGTTTTTGCAAACACAGATATTTAATTCGTTGTTAGCCATACTAAAAAACTTGAATCTTAATTTTGAGTGCGATCAAAACATTTTTTGCAAACGCCGCGGTATTTTCTATTTTCTATTTCGATTTTTGAACAATCGTAGCCAGCGACCCTGAAAATATCTAGATCTTAAATTTGATCTCATTCAAAACATTTCTTATGCAAAGATGTACACCATATTTTGTTCTTTCACAAATTCGTTTTCAGAGATCTAGAAATCTATGGATTTTTTGTTAAATTTATTGAATCTCTCTAACTTTGGGACTGTTGAACCACCGTTGGTTCGATCACGTGTGGGCTTAATTATAAATGTTAATGCGTACCAAAGCTTAAATGTTTCGCATAGTATATTTAACTATTAACCATTAATACCACCTTGGGAGATTAGCGAAATCGGTACGCAGAAAGTTTTCTTCCATTTTATCTGTTGTGGTTCTAAAATATCACACAGCAGGCTATGCAAGATACATGTTGTGACTGCTCAGCTGGAGCGCTAAGGATGACGTTACGACCGAACCCCTTCGCGCGAAGGTGGTCAGCAACAGCACCCAACACCGAAAATGTCATAATATTTTTAATAGGAGTAATTCAAATTTGTGAAAGATGCCAGTTATACTATTATATACTAAGTGACATATAAATCCGAACACCCAGTTTAAATGGTTTTATTTTAATAAAATTTTGTATAAGTACTTAATGAAGCATAATAAGTAAATGATAAAAATTTCAAAATGATTGCACTGCTTTAAAGCCCTTTGACCTTTAATAATGTGTGGATGCACCCTGATGTGCTACGCATTCTCCAACGCGCCTAGGCATGCTTTTGATCAGGTGGTCAATGTCCTCCTGTGGTATCTCATTCCAGGCAACCACCAACTCCTCTCGAAGTGCTTCTAGTGTCTGAGGAGGACGTTGCAAATTGAGCAATCTCCTACCCATCATATCCCACACGTGCTCAATTGGAGATAAGTCGGGAGATCTTGGTGGCCATGGTAACAATGTGACATCATTATGTTGAAAGAAGTCTATTGTGACTCTTGCAACATGTGGTCGGGCATTATCTTGTTGGAAAGTTGGATCTGCCAGGGTGTCAAGATAGGGTAAAAGATGGGGTTCTAGAACTTCGTGGATATAACGCTGCGCGTTCATGTTACCTCTGATGAAGATTAAAGGTGACCTGGAACCATAAGCTATAGCACCCCAAACCATAACTCCAACAGTGTGATGAACATGTCTTTCAACAAAAAACTGTGGATTCCTCCTTTCACCACGTCGCCTTCTAACCCTGGCAGGACCATCGTGCATGCCTAAACAAAATCGAGACTCATCACTAAAAACAATACTGTTCCATTCCTGATCCCAGAGTGACCGTTGTCTGCACCACTCAAGGCGATTACGTCGGTGTTCTCGAGTTAAAGGGAGGACCCAGTGTGGCCGGTATGAAAACAAGCCAAAACTTCTCATTCGTCGGTAAACACTTCGCATGCCAATAGGTCTTCCGTGTTCTGCAAACCATTCATTTGCAATGGACCTGGTAGTGGAGAAACGGTCCCTTAAGGCCAATAATCTTAGGCGGCGATCTTCACGGTCTGTTGTTCTACGGCGGCGTCCAGTGCCCCTTGCTCTTTGCGTACGGCCTTCTCGAAGCCATGCCTGACAACACCTAACCACAGTGTCTACACTTCTTTGCACTCTAACTGCAATTGCCCGAAAAGAAGGTCCAGCTTCCCGAAGTCCCACATACGGCCACTATCAAACTCACTAAGTTGACGAAATCGTACAGGTCTCCGTACTCTAGGCATCGTAACCGATCGTAAAGGATGTCAAGAACCAAAATCTGCCAACGTTGATTCTTTACTGCGGCTGAAATATTCATTTTTAGAGCGTTAGTGAATTAAAAAAACGCAGTATAAAAACCGGAATGTCCAACTGATAAGGCTGAAAATTTTTTCACTTTTTATTTACAGTAAGATAAATACATTCACCAACTTTTATTAAAATAAAACCATTTAAACTGGCTGTTCGGATTTATATGTCACTTAGTATACATGTATCACTTGACCTCCCACTCCACTAAAAGAAACTATTATAAGCTATTTATGTATCAGTTTCATCACTCGGAACTTCAGCTTGTCAAATTGACCCGATCAAAAAATAAGGGAGGACCTTTCTGCTTTCAAGTCAGTCCTTTTTCTCTAATCTGGTCTAACTAGTTACATACAAATGAAGACTCGAAAGTGGGTTTGACTAACCCCATTTGCACAATTTCTGAGCCACCGCCTCTGGATGTTTTCAGCACGTGCTGGATCGCAGCCAGGGGCTTATCCGGATCGCAAAACTGCGCTTGTAGTTTACGGCGCGTGCCTGATTATAACCAAGAAACACCCTTATGAATGGACAGGATTTGCAGCATGATTGATTTATAGAATTTATCAGATAAATCAATGACTGTGTGTGCTGTACGCACAAAAACGGTAAAGCTTCACACGTGCAGATAGACAAGTAAAGGATTTTTGTGGATATATTGTCAACTGTTAAGGTTCCCCTATTAAAAAATGGCGTAAGCAGATTGACTCTATACTCCCCACGCCTTCGAAACAACTTCTGTAAAATGACATCAAAAAGTCGTAAGGATTGTCAGAGCCAGCAAGCAGTTTTTGAGGTTTTCATGAAAAAGATTGCAGCAATAATGAGATAATTAGCTTGTCCGTACACGTGAGTCACATTTTCTGGAGCTCTGGTGTAAAACTGCTTGTCAATAATGTTTAATAACGGATTTTAATAGCTCTTGATACATACTTATATAATATACTATACAGGTATAATATTATGTCAGGAAATCGAATAACATCATTGAATTAAATTCAAGCATAATGCTCATATTCATCTTCACCGGGTGTTTCAAATTCGACCCTCACCGTTGGTATCTCGGAGACGAAAAGAGATACGAAGGAACTTAAAAAGTTGCGTATTTAAGTAACTAACAAAATGCCGCTTAGAAAGTTCCTATATTCAAAGTACTTCCAGAGAGAGACGGAAAAAACGAATTTTGCCAAAATCGTTTTAATTTTTCCTGACTTTATTTATAGAAGAACTTCAAAATAAAGTTCACAACATGGCATAATTAGAATTTAAATATGACTTTTCTTCTCTTGTCCTCCAGCATCAAATTTATTTTTTCTGGTGGAATTTTCGCACACATGAATAGAGTTTTCAATTCTGATTGCAAAAATATGTAATATGTCATACATTGAACATTTCCAAACCTTAGTTATATCAAAAAGACAGAATTCCCTAAGTAGGCCTTGAAGTTGGCACATAGTAATTTTTTTTGGTATGCCGAATTCATCGCAAAATCGTTGTTTATATTAACAACATGCCATTTATTTTGAAATCCCATCTCAAATAAAGTCAGGAAAAAAAATAGAAATGATTTGGCGATAAATCTAGTATATATGAAACAAATGACTATCTGTTGATTTCAAAGCCTACCGGGGAAGTTCGGTTTCTTTGAAATAATTTAGGTTTGGCAATGTATGACACGTTGTACATTTTTGGAATCAGAATTAAAAACTCTATTAATATGTGAACAAATCCTAGATAGCGTCCATTAGAAAACATAAAGCTGATGCTGGAGGATTATTTTTGCGAGCGACTGCACGTCATATAGACGTCAAATCCACGTCATACAGACGTCATATTGACTTTATATTTGGTCTTTTAAAGGACATACTAGGGCGTCATACTGGTGACGTCAATTGGATGTGACATTAGACCGTCATAAAGACGTCATTTCTACGTCATTTTGTTGGTCGGCATATGTCAGTTAAGCCCTATACGCTACTGGAAATAGGTTTTTCTTCAATAACTTTCGAACGACTCTGTATAAGTAGTTCAATTTAAACAGATCAACATATATACTAGTTGGAACCTTTCATAATGGCTACCATTGAGGACAATTATAACACCATCGATCTCGATAATAATATGGCACAAGAATAACATTTTTGAACAGACTGATCTTACAGCAGAAAAAGACTCTTGTTTGACATGGAAAAAATGCACCGTTCTAAAAAAACACGCTCTTACTTCAGTACAGTTCTGTAAGTTTCCTATGATAATGCTGATACAGATTCATAATCCGAAGGTTCCAGGATAAGAACGCTCAAATAAGTTTTGGGTTTTTTCATTTTTGTAAAACGATAATATAAGTACCGAGACAATGAAGTTTCTTTCAAAAAAGTATCGATTTATCAAAGTCATACAGAAATATGTATATTCTGAATAAACTTGTACCATATCTCGCTGATCAATATCTATACGTTTCTTGCCACTAAATGATGCCATAGATGTTGAATAAATTACTTTTTTTATTTTACTTAGTAAGTTTTGATAATACTTATATTGATACCTTGCAGTTTTTAGTTTGATGTACTTTGAAAAACGATTCCGAATGGCAGAGCAATTAAACATTTGGAAAAACATTTGTTTATGACTATGGTTTCAGTTTATTAACCAAGGCAATAAGTAGATTGCGAAGATATTAATGAAAAATGCTAAATAAGTCACGCTCACCTGTCGGTGCCAGAATACACAGCTGTAGGTACCTCCATCTTGCACCAAAGTTTTTTAGGATTATCACCACTGATTAGGTCTACAACGATATCACATCTGGAACGTAAAAATCACTCCCGTGTTTTTGACTATAATTTCACCGATAAGACTTGTGGATTATGATCAATTTTTCGAATAAAATTGTGGTAAAAAAACGATACCGAAATAGACCACACAACGAATATGAAGACCACGACATTACTCTTATAACAATTGAATGCCAAAGAAATATTATTCCCGCCAAAAACAGTTCTCATATTTCCGGGATTTGAAGTTAGCTGAAGTTGCTTATAGACCAGTCAACTTAGTACAAACTGTACTGCACCTTCCTTTAGACTGATTTTTAAAATAGATTCGAACTTGGAAAATGGCTGCAAATGGGTGTATGCAGTCATAAGAAATTACCGACGAGTATGTATCACTGCGCGCGGTGCACTTCCCTCTGCTTCTCTTTCTTGTGTTCTGTGCTGTATTTTTCCATGACCTAACCTCAAATATCCACCACTCAAAAGAAGATGTAGGAAAACAATAATAGTTGTATTTTCTTAAGTTTTACAGCAATGGCTTTATCTGTGGACCAATGCGACGCATTATTAAAGTAAGCTGATACTGTTAATAACCATTTACTTCTTATAAAGTATTATTTATAGCATTTTAGATTTGCAAAGTGTTCGCAACTTCACTCTGGAGGCTTTGTGCAATGATATACACAAGAAATTTGAAGCTCGCGACTTTTTCAAGGGTGAGTATGCATTATATATATATTTTTGTCTAGATTGTATATTTTGTAATAGGTTAGTTTAAGAAGGCTGTGGTCTATATGTACTAATAAGATTTCAAGCTAAAACTGATCAAAACACTGTCTCTTTACTTTCATCTGAAAAACCACTAACTTTTATCATTTTGGCTATTTTATTTTTGCAGTGGGAACATGCATAGTGATGTTACTTCAAAACAACCTACTTCCTGAACCTGAGCAAAGGCTTGTAGCATTCACTTTACTGTATGAGCTTTATCGAGGTGAACCACTTGCCAATACTCCATTTGCCAGTGTTTTTATACATTTACTCCATCCCCCTGAACATCAGAGCAATGTTGGTGCTCCAAAACTGGAATACCCTGGCCAACTACCAAGGTTGTTTCCTCAAGAAAAGCATTTCTTAACACAGTTGATGTCAGATGTATCTAAGGACTCCGTGAGTATTATTTTGTAAATGACAACAGTGACCTAAAATTGGATATGAAATATTATATATTACTGTTATGTTATCATAGATTCTTTCCAATAACAAGTTTCTCAAATGTTTTTTACAGTAATGTTCAGAATGTAACTCAGGAATAGCATAATATGATGTTAGATATAACAATATATATGCCAATTTTATATTGACAATAAATCCTCAGATTTCTTCATGAGTTGGGTTCATGCCCAAATTTCAAAAATATAAAACCTGAATTTCTTCGTGGATTTCATCACACAATTAGAACCTGTTCTAACATGCAACAAGTGACAACCTTGCTTTCCTTTTCATTATATTGAACAACTTTTCAATTCAGGTATAGAACTTTGATAGATATACAGTAATCAACAGTATAGTTTCTTCTTATGAAATTTGTTTCAAAATAAAAATCAAAATACATGTAAAACCTCAAAATGTTTTTATCAAAAATTTGTTGTGTGGTTGGTAGCACTATGTACTGTTAGATAATCCATGAATTTGTCCATTGATGTAAACACTTCAAAACAATCAAGATGCCTCAAGAAATCTGAATAAATTCATCATGAAATTTTTGATGTAAATTAGATACAGGGTGCGTCATCTATTACTTTTTTTTCTATTTTTAAAATCAACACGCTCTTCACGAGGTGAAATCGATTTTTTTTTATTGATAAATGAAGGTTGAATTATGCCATTTATGTATGAAAAATAACATCAGTCATGTGCTTCGTTTACAGACCAACATCCGAACATCAAAATTTACAATAACTTTTCCCAGAATAATCGGCTCTATGGCCGCACTTTCAGTCCGAATATTGCGCTTTAGGTCTTGCATTGTCCGGGGACCATTTGCAAAAATGCAAAAATCCCCAAAGAAAATAGTCAGGAGGTGTGAAATCGCACGATCCCGGGGGCCAACTGACATCTGAATTTCGTGAAATTATGCGGTCTTGAAATTTGGTGTGCAATAAGGCGATTGTTTGGCGATATGTGTGAGCCGTTGCTCCGTCTTGATGAAACCAAAGATCGTCGGCACCAATACGATCTAATTGTGGCCACAAAAAGTCTGCTAACAAGCCCCGTTCCCCGTTGACGGTAATGGCATACCTTTGACAGTTCATTTATGAATACCACATGACTTTTGACTCACATGGTAACACATAAACTTATAGGTAAAAAAAAGTAATAGATGGCGCACCCAGTATAATAATATCTTTAAATGTATATATTTTACATATCTGCTAATCAGATTCTCCTTGGATGCATGTTGCATTTCAATTTGATATTATTTTTTTTTTCAGTTTATGAAAAAAACTGCTGTGCAAGTCATAAATGCTGATCCTCCACAACACTCACCAACAGATTTCTCAATGATCCAATTGTTATTAGCTGAAAAACAATCTGAATTACCCCAGACATGCAAAACTGGTATACCTGTTATAGTGTCACTGCCAGAAAAAGGTTCTAACAGGTACAAACAGTTTTATCTAATAAAAATGTTAGAAAAACTACCTTTCTTATATTAGTCGTTTTAGTATCAATATTCTTGCATCTTATGTGGGAATGTATGTTTGATTAATCAGATACATATGCCAATGGTCAAAGCATATGCAGGGTTATTACATCGCTAGAAGTTGAGTTAGTGGCCTTAGTCACAAAGACTATATATAGCCTTTTGGAATTATGTAACTATGCATTGTAGTCCCACTATAATAAAGCTTCTAATTCCCACAATTTGGCAACGTCTTAAAGTGATATAAACCTCTGATATTTCTGCCATTTCATGGCAATAAGCAGTTCTAAGACTGACTGGTCTTGCTGACAGTTAAACTGTTAAACTAATAATCAGTAGTTATGCTAATAATCTGTGGTAATACTCTAATTTTGTGATTTATGAAAAGCTTTGCAAACTTTCTCCTGTCTCTGCACATGTAGAAAATTTGATTTACCCCACAATTCATTACTATACCCTATTTGACGAGTATACATCACGGTAGAACGACAGCCGATTATCTAGTAATATCTCAAAATTCCCCATATTGGCACAGGACACATAATTCTGACGGATCTGTCAACCCCATGTAGACAGAGCCGTATTTTGTATTTTTGTAAACTACAGATTTATTTTGTACTTGCTAACAGCTCTTTTATTTAGAAAAGATCATTTGCTTACAAAAAACAAAACGCCACAAACAAATTTTACTAGATTTATACCCGATTCATTGTTGCCAAGGTTGCAGACCAACACAAAAGTGTCACTTGCTGATCAGCTATTCACCTCAGTAGATGTCAGAACATGATGGACACTCGTGAAATAGGGTACGATCTTGTTTCACGCATGAGGCCTTTAGCCTTGTATTTTAATGCAATGAATTTCGTGTTTCTTTTTGCATGCCCTATAGAAGTGTGACATTATATAAATTGATAGATTTATATATAGATGTTTTTATTGTCCAAGATCTAATTAGATAACATCAAAAAAAGCTTAATTATTTTTTCATCATGTCAATATTGCAAATCATCTCACTTCCTAGGGCTCATTCCATTCAATCTTAGAAAGTACCAGAGATAAACCAACCTATAAACCAGCAAACCTTGGTGGCCATATAATCAACTAGGAGTTGAGACACATTAATTTTTATCTGTAATTTGGGACATAGCATTTCCGTTTGATATTGTCTTCACAGCTGAGAAATTAATTTTGACACATCAGAATTATAGCATTTAGCAACGTATGCCTACTGGTTACAAAAAGACTATATTTATAGCCCCCTTTCCAGTCCTCAAACGGTGTAGAACCAGTTACATAATCCAAAACGACAAAAATGACCAAAACACCACTGTCCCGTGTCAAAGAGACTACAACTAAAGCACTAAGTCGCAGACTGATGAGTCAAATACAGTCCTTCCCACTTTAAATTATTGTAACTCAAATATTTATCAGCATTACCTTTCCAGCTATACTACAGATGCAGGATCAGATGATGCACTAATAAAAAAATTAGCTACTGGTGATGATGCACCAATGAACAAGGTATACAAGCCAGAATTTGTGACGTTAGCCCCACCTCTACTAAACTGTCAAGATGAGGTATGTTGTATACTTATATTGATCGGTTTGTTCAAGCAAATTTTAGAGTGGCGAGCGCCAACCAAGAAGATTCAAAAAATAATTAGTTTGTAGCTGACAATATATGAAATTGATATTTTCGGGTGCTACATATAATAATAATAATAATGTATTCGTGTTTGTACACATGTCAAGAAAAGGCTCAGCATATGAACAATAAGAAGCAATACAAAAAAATATTACACTTAACCAAAATAGAAAACAAACACAAAGCAATAAAACAAAAATAGTCGACAATTATGGAGGAATGTCGATAAAATCATTATTTAAAAACTCGTCAGAACATTAAAGAATTTTACACTGAAATAATGACTTTCGAGTCTAGTTTTTGCTAGTCTATATTTGTGAATCTCTTTGGAAGTTATGTAATTATCATAATTGTCTGAAAAAAAGTTTGCTATTATCCTCAACCATCGTCTCTTAGCAGCAAACACCTTTGATACATGAGATGAATGGCCCCAAACCAGTATGCAGTATTGTAAGTTAGATTTTAAGTAAGCAAAGTTCTCGTTCGTGCGATTTAACTCCGTTGGACTTCTTCCTTTGGAGCTATGTTAAAAGGAAAGTCTACATGAACAATCCCCAGACGATTGAAGCATTGAAAGAGAAAAATAACCCGTGTAATCGCTGAGATAGAGCCGCAATTATGTGACCGTGTCATCGAGAATTTTAACGAAAGAATGACTATTTGCAAGTTATCATGGGGTGATCATTTGCAGATTATAATTTTTACTTAATAAAAAATTGCGTCGATATTGAACAACCCTTTATAAGTTATTTTATTTTGATAAAGTGATGATGTGTGGTTCCCTAGTTAAGTTCACATCAATAAACACTCCGAGGAATTCCACGGGTTCTATTAAATCACTTTTACGTGGACGAGTACTAAGTAAAACAGATTGAGTTTTTGCTGTATTAAGATACAAACTGTAGGTCAAAATTATTTATTTATTTATTTAGCAACATCCAACAGCCATAGCCAATTACAGGATGGATAAACATGAAAATATAAACAAATGCATGTTGTGGATGTATGTAGAGAAAGCTAAAACGCTGCAAAAAAAACTCAAAACAGAACTGGGAGGAAAAAAGCGTTCTAGCTTTACCTACCCAGCACTCAACAATCACACCAGCAAGCATTAACGAAAATAAGCATTAATGTCTCCCAAAGTCGCACAAAACGAAAATATATCTAAAACGCTATTAACTGAATTATAATTACGGCACATTATATATATATATATATATATATAGGGGAAAACTTAAGTATGTCAGTCCTAGGCCTGGCTAAGTAAAAAGTTAAAGTAGTTCGTGACGGTAATCTAGGAATTAAGAAGTTAAGTTGTTCTAAGATGACACTGGAGTCAATAATACCATGGATGAGCTTGTGAATGAACTTAAGTGAATTCATTTTGCGTCTGCTCTCTAAATTATAGATTTTGTGTCTCGCCATCAACTCACTATGAGGAAAGCCAATAGCGGGATATATCCCGTCAGATTTATATGAGAGGTATTTTAAAAACTTTCTTTGAACGGACTCTAAGCGGTCAATATATATTTGATGATGAGGATACCATACCAGGGACGCATACTCAAGCTTAGATCTTACATAAGCATAGTACAGTATTTTCAGTGTAAAGGAGTTGTGGAAATCACCGGTATTTCTTACAATAAAACCATACGCCTTTGATGCAGTCACAACAGCATTTTCAATGTGATAGGAGAAGGAAATTTTTCTGTCAAATGTGACTCCCAAGTCATTAATTGTACTAGGTCTGTCAAGTTTCCTGTCACCAATACTATATTCATACATCATTACCCCTGTTTTTAAAGTAAACGACAAAACGTGACACTTAGCAGCATTCAAAACAAGTCTGTTTTCAGGACACCAGCTGTCAACCCTTACAATGTTGCATTGCAAGCGATGACAATCGTCAATGTTAGAGACTCTACAGAAAAGTTTCATATCGTCAGCATATATAAGAAAATCGACATCGATAACTTCAGAAATATCATTTATGAACATAATAAATAACAGAGGACCCAAATTAGATCCTTGAGGAACACCGGTCATTACAGGGTATTCGCTTGACTTATGTCCATTGCACATTATGATTGGAAGATATTGATGTCGTGTCATCCGCAAATAATATACATTGATTCATGCTACAGTTTGACAGATCATTTATGTGAATTAAAAAAAAATCGGTCCTAAGACACTTCCTTGGGGAACTCCATAGTATACGAGTGTAATAGAGGTAGTTAGCCATAGTATTGAAAATATGATCTCATCGTTCATATAAAAAGCACCAAAGGTAGTCAATTTGGAACATTTTCTGTAACATACTAATTCAATTTGAATGCTCCTAGTGGGTGCTCGCCACCGTTAAAGCCTTGAAGTATATTAGTTGTACCCATACATACGTTTTGTCACTGTTATAAATTCACAACAGCTAAAAGTTAAATAATTATTTAGTATTTATTTTTGACTAATTAAACAACAAGTTGGAATCAATGTTTTTTGTTTCGTTTTATTATATATCATATCATATATTCAGGCAACCACAGTTACTTTTTCTTCTCGTCCACGTCCGTAATGATCCTTTTCCAGCTGGTTTGGCTGAACCCAACAACACCCAAAGAACACTACCCCGTGTATGATTCAAGCATGTGTGTCCCGGATATTGCAGGCTATGAAGCTAGACAGTTGATGAACAAAGCCTACAAATCTGCACTGTCTATTCCACAGCAACAACAGCTGTTGACTGAGCTTGAGAATGACTCTAAACTGGTGTACCATATTGGCTTGACTCCATCTAAAGTGAGTATATCTGTGTTTTGTCAAGTTAACCTTATGTTGTCTTGTGATCGACTGCTTAACCAGGTGTATTATTTTAAAGGACTAGCTCAAACCTGCGGTTGCGCTCGCGTGGGTTATTCGTTTGGCATTAGTGTGAAGGAGGTTGGTATTGGAGGAAATTAGTCTCAATTTAACAATAAAAGCAAACTTTTAGTGTTAGTCAAAACAAAAAAGCTACATCTAAAACTTTTATAAGATTGTGTTATTCTAGTTCTAGAACTGTTTTCCATGAAACTGTTTCATAATTATTGCATACTATGTTTTATAATAATTTTAAAAATGTTTAAGCAATTATTAGATAAAAGCTGTGGGAGTAATAATAAAAAAAATTAAATATCAAAATTGCTGCACTAGAGTACGCCTTTTTTTTTGGCTTATCAGCTTTGTTAGAACGCTTATAGCAGCATTTTTGTTTTACAAAAATATTTCTGTAAACATTGTTAAGACATTTATAAAACAAATCGTTAGTTGAGCGAAATTAACAATTTTTTTTCACATTACAGCAGACGCTCGATAATGTAAACTAATTTAATCCAAGTGTGGTTCACATTATCGAAATGTTTACATTAGCGAACGTGATTTATATAATATTTGATTTATTAAAAGAAACGTTTATTATATACTATTTATAACAAAATAAACAAATATTCTAACAGCGATAGGTATTTTTTTAATTAGAAGAAAAATAATTAACAATTTTTGTCTGCGTAAATTTGCGCTTAGCATTGTCTTCCAATGCCTGCGCCCGTAATTTACGAAGAACTAAAATATCGGTGTATGAAACTTCTTTTCTTTCAGCCCAATCTAAAGCTTGGTTAAAAACTTGTATAGCTTGCGCGTCAGTCACTACACTTCTGACTTCAATGGGATCGTTCTCATCATCCTCACTGTCCATATCCTCCACCTTATCAGCATCATTCGTCTGCTTATATTCGTTCCATAAATTAATATCAGCAGGAGTACAAACATTGTTGGGATTCACTGTTTTCAATAAATCAACAACATCCAATGACACACTAATAACATTATCATTATTGGATCGCAAACGTTCTCTAATTACGCTTAAGGTGACATCATCTTCATCATCTTCATTATTGGTACAAAAGAGATTGTTCCAACATGTTTTAATAGTTTGCTGGTTAAGTTCATTCCAGGCCATATGTAAATCTAAAACAGCTTCTCGTAATGTTACTTTTTTTAAAGCCTCAGATAAGTTTTCAGGATTCTTTGATAAGACAAACGAAAGTAGAAACTTCCTATAGTATAGTTTGGTGAGTCTTATTATATTCTGGTCCATCGGTTGAATTAACGGTGTTCCGTTGGGCGGCATGTACATGACATCCCTGCTCCTCAGTTGTTGCTCGGGAGGATGACTTGGTGCATTATCCAATAGTAACAACGCTTTTATTGGAAGCTTCTGTTGTTTTAGGAAACCTTTTACCTACAAATTGAAAACACATCTTCAAATTATGAATAGAGCATTTGTGATAATTGATTGTCATACCTGAGGGACAAAGCACCTGTGGAACCATTTCAGGAATATACTGCTAGTCATCCAACAGGTTTTTGAACAGTCATAATCAACAGGGATATTAACATTTTTAAATGAGCGCGGATTTTTTGCTTTCCCAATTACCAGTGGCTTTATTTTGTGTGAACCATTAGCATTAGTGCAGGCTAGAAACGTTATTCGTTGTTTCTCCGGCTTTCTTATCGGGGCAGATTTTTCAAATGATGCAGCATAGGTTTTCTCTGGTAACATTTTCCAATAAAGGCCACTTTCATTTGCGTTGTAAATTTGTTCCATTCTTAAATCTAGCTCTGTAATTGTTTTCATCAATTTTTCTTTGAATGGTTGCACTAATTGTGGTCGTGCTGATAATTTTTCACCAGATATAGACAGCAGTCGAATTCCATATCTTGTTTTGAATCATTGTAGCCAGCCATCACTAGCTACGAAATTTTCAGTTTCTTTCAGTTTTTCATTTAACAGTCTCGCTCTCTGTTTAAGTACTTCGCCACTAACTGGGACATGATTTTCCCGTTGTTTTAAAAACCAGTTATACAGGAAATTTTCCATTTTATGTGCCTTCGCATTTTTCCCGGACCTCCAAATGTATTGCACGTTCTTTGTAAAATTTGAGTTTTCATACGCTTAATTTTACAGATTGTTGCTTTCGATACTCCATATTTTTTTGCTAACTGTGTCGCTCCCGCACCTAGTGCAACTTCGTCTATGATTTTCACTTTTCCACTCAACTTTAAACAGTTTTTTTTATAGGATGTGGATGCCATAGTCGTAAGATATATTAACGCGTGCAATGTATTCACTTAAGTTCAAAAATGAAATACATACGTACGTATAAACGTATCCTAAACGATCATACGACTGACCGAGTTTGTCGTATTTTATCGCAGAGATGAATCCCCTACACTCTACATCATAAATCGGGGACTCCCCGACGCCCGATTTAAATCATCGAGGCTTCAGCATTTTACCGTCGCGCTGTTTCCGTGCGCCGAGAGTTGTTTACGTTATCGAGCGTACACATTGTTTACGTTATCGCGCGTTCCGTTTGATCCTATAGAACGAAGTTTGTGTTTACATTAGCGCAAGTTTTCGTTATCCCGTGTTTACGTTATCGAGCGTCTGCTGTATATAGATTTCTTACGAAATAACCCTGTCGATCACTTTTATCATCTGGATGGCATTAGTAAATTGACAGCCAACTTGCATGCTTGGAAAATTTGGTTGCTTTATTATTGGCGCCATCTACATGTTACGCGGATCAAACCGCGGGGCAGTAAACTAGTTGATGATAAAGTTAACCCAATAAAGTTGATTGTTTTTATATTTTTCTTTGTAAAAAAGTACCTCTAAACGGATCACTTGCCACAAAGGTTCTTGGGATGGAAATCAACAAATTACATTGATATTTTCGTTTTTCAGCTTCCTGACCTAGTAGAGAATAACCCACTGATAGCAATTGAGGTTCTACTGAAACTAATGCAATCAAAGCAAATAACGGAATACTTCAGTGTGCTTGTAAACATGGAAATGTCTTTACATTCGATGGAAGTCGTCAACAGACTGACAACAACTGTTGACCTCCCCACCGAGTTCGTACACCTGTATATTTCCAACTGTATTTCCACATGTGAAACTATCAAAGACAGATATATGCAAAATAGGCTTGTACGGCTGGTGTGTGTCTTCCTGCAGTCATTGATCAGAAATAAAATCATTAACGTACAGGTAAGAATTGTATTTTAAAACAGCCATATTTGCTGTTAATACCAGCAACCCTTGATATTAGCTCCACAAGATTCGAGGTATGAGTGATATGGTGTCGTTGATAATCCTGCTAAATTACTAAAGGGTTGTCCAATAGGGACGCAGGAAAGTAAACGTCAATTTGACATAGACGCCATCTTTGTTTTCTGTCACCGACATGTCATTTTGTTAGTTGAATGTTTACCATTGATCGCTATGGAGTCGTATTCGATTGAAAACCGCATTAAAGTTATTCAAGAGCACTACAAAAATGGTGCAAAAATAAAAAACACGTTTCGCGCGCTTCGTGAACATTTCGGTCGCAACAACCGCCCAAACGAAACAACCATCGGTCGTCTGGTGCGTAAATTCGAGGCAACAGGTTCTGTGACAAATCTGCCAGGCTCTGACCAGCCAAGGAGCTTCGCACACCGGAAAATATTGCTGTTGTGAAGGAGAGTGTAAGAGACGATCCGAAACAATCAACAACGCGTCGATCCCAAGAATTGGGCATTTCGAGAACCAGTTTGCTCCGCATTCTCCACAAGGATTTGAATGTACACGCCTACAAGATCCAATTGACGCAAGAGCTGCGTCGGGCCGACCATTTTTCGCGCCGAACGTTCTCAGATTCGCTCCTTGAACACCGCCAAATTGATGCCAATTTTTCATCAAAAATCACGTTCAGCGACGAAGCGCATTTCACTTTGAATGGGACGGTAAACAAGCAAAACTGCCGCATCTGGGCGAACGAAAATCCCCGTGAGTATCAAGAGCAGCCGATGCATCCTCAAAAAGTGACTGTGTGGTGTGCATTGTGCTCAAAAGGCATCATCGGACCTTACTTTTTCGAAAATGCGGCCGGGGACGCCGTTACCGTCAATTCTGAGCGATGTCACGTGATGATAGAGGACTATTTTTTGCCGAAACTGGAAGGAATGGATATGGACGATGTTTATTTCCAACAAGACGGTACAACATGCCACACAACCAACGTCAATATCCATCGATTGCAGTCCTTCTTCGGTGATCGCGTGATTTCGCGCAGAGGAAATGTGCCATGGCCACCAAGATCGTGCGATTTGACTCCTTTGGACTTCTTTTTATGGGGACATTTGAAAAGCAAAGTCTACGTCAACAAACCAGCCACCCTCTAAGAACTCAAAAACAACATCATTGCCGAGATAAATGCCATAGAACCGACCATGTTGCAAAATGTCGTTGAAAATTTCGACCATCGCGTGGACGTCTGTAAATCCAGTCGTGGTGAACATTTGAGCGGTATTATTTTTCATACATAAATGGTATAAATGAACCTTCAAAATAAAGTACCCAACTTGATTTTAATATCAATCTTTCTTGTTTTAATATGCGTTTACTTTCCTGCGTCCGTTTTGGACAACCCCATATATTTGTTTAAAGCAGTGACGTGCTTAGGTGGAGAAGACAAATACCATATCAATCCAAATTTGGTTGTTTAGCTTTTGATGCCTTCTATAGTTTTTTGACGCGGCAAAAAAGTGACTGGGATTGCTTACGTAGGCGGAGGCGTTATGTTATCACAATGCACGCTTGAAGGAAAAAGTTTGCAACCCTTCTTGACAAAGTAAAATAATGTTCAAGCACTCATAGCTTTTGGTGCCTTCTATAGTTTTTTGACACAGCAGAAAAGTGACTGGGGTTGCTTACATAGGCGGAAGCGCTATATCATCACAATGTATGCGTGAAGAGAAAAGTTTGTTACCCTTCTTGAGGAAGTAAAATAATGTTCAAGAACTCATAGCTTTTGGTGCCTCCTATAGTTTTTTGACGCAGCACAAAAATGACTGAGGTTGCTTACATAGGCGGAGGCGTTATGCTATCACAATGCAAACGTGAAGAAAAAAGTTTGCTACCCTTCTTGACAAAGTAAAATAATGTTGAAGAACTCATAGCGTTTGGTGCCTTCTGTAATTTTTTGACACAGCAGAAAAGTGACTGGTGTTGCTTACATAGGCGGAGGCGTTTTGCTGTCACAATGTACGCGTGAAGGAAAAAGTTTGCCACCCTTGTTAACAAAGTAAAATAATGTTCAAGCACTCATAGCTTTTGGTGCCTTCTATAGTTTTTTGACACAGCAGAAAAGTGACTGGGGTTGCTTACATAGGCGGAAGCGTTATATCATCACAATGTATGCGTGAAGAGAAAAGTTTGCAACCCTTCTTGACAAAGTAAAATAATGTTCAAGCACTCATAGCTTTTGGTGCCTTCTATAGTTTTTTGACAGCAGAAAAGTGACTGGGGTTGCTTACATAGGCGGAAGCGTTATATCATCACAATGTATGCGTGAAGAGAAAAGTTTGTTACCCTTCTTGACGAAGTAAAATAATGTTCAAGAACTCATAGCTTTTGGTGCCTCCTATAGTTTTTTGACACAGCAGAAAAGTGACTGGTGTTGCTTACATAGGCGGGTGTTATGCTGTCACAGTGTACGCGTGAAGAAAAAAGTTTGCTACCCTTCTTGACAAAGTAAAATAATGTTCAAGAACTCATAGCTTTTGGTGTCTCCTATAGTTTTTTGACGCAGCAGAAAAATGACTGGGGTTGCTTACATAAGCGGAGGCGTTATGCTGTTAGAATTTACGCGTGAAGAAAAAATTTTGCAACCCTTCTTGACAAAGTAAAATAATGTTCAAGTACTCACAGCGTTTGGTGCCTTCTATAGTTTTTTGACGCAGCAGAAAAGTGACTATTGTTGCTTACATAGGCGGAGGCGTTATGCTGTCACAATATACGCGAAAAGGAAAAAGTTTGCCACCCTTCTTGACAAAGTAAAATAATGTTCAAGAACTCATAGCTTTTGGTGCCTTCTATAGTTTTTTGACGCAGCAGAAAAGTGACTATTGTTGCTTACATAGGCGGAGGCGTTATGCTGTCACAATATACGCGAAAAGGAAAAAGTTTGCCACCCTTCTTGACAAAGTAAAATAATGTTCAAGAACTCATAGCTTTTGGTGCCTTCTATAGTTTTTTGACGCAGCAGAAAAGTGACTATTGTTGCTTACATAGGCGGAGGCGTTATGCTGTCACAATATACGCGAAAAGGAAAAAGTTTGCCACCCTTCTTGACAAAGTAAAATAATGTTCAAGAACTCATAGCTTTTGGTGCCTTCTATAGTTTTTTGACGCAGCAGAAAAGTGACTGGGGTTGCTTACATAAGCGGAGGCGTTATGCTATCACAATGCACTCGTGAAGAAAAAAGTTTGCTGCACTTCTTGACAAAGTAAAATAATGTTCAAGAACTCGTAATTTAATTTTTCTTCCTGCTGATGGTCGTCCGCAATCAGATCCAGGGAGCCTACAGCACTACTTGAGCTCAGATTAGTCCTCGGACGATAACGAAGAAACTCGATGAATACTTCGTATGTCCACATTTGGCCAATCGAGGAGAGTCAATATATACTAAGTGACATATAAATCCGAACACCCAGTTTAAATGGTTTTATTTTGATAAAAGTTGGTGAATGTATTTATCTTACTGTAAATAACAAGTGAAAAAATGTTCAGCCTTATCAGTTGGACATTCCGGTTTTTATACTGCTTTTTTTTAATTCACTAACGCTCTAAAAATGAATATTTCAGCCAAAGTAAAGAATCAACGTTGGCGGATTTTGGTTCTTGACATCCTTTACGATCGGTTACGATGCCTAGAGTACGGAGACCTGTACGATTTCATCAACTTAGTGAGTTTGATAGGGGCCGTATAGTGGGACTTCGGGAAGCTGGACTTTATTTTCGGGCAATTGCAGTTAGAGTGCAAAGAAGTGTAGACACTGTGGTTAGGTGTTGTCAGGCATGGCTTCGAGAAGGCCGTACGCAAAGAGCAAGGGGCACTGGACGCCGCCGTAGAACAACAGACCGTGAAGATCGCCGCCTAAGATTATTGGCCTTAATGGACCGTTTCTCCACTACCAGGTCCATTGCAAATGAATGGTTTGCAGAACACGGAAGGCCTATTGGCATGCGAAGTGTTTACCGACGAATGAGAAGTTTTGGCTTGTTTTCATACCGGCCACACTGGGTCCTCCCTTTAACTCGAGAACACCGACGTAATCGCCTTGAGTGGTGCAAACAACGGTCACTCTGGGATCAGGAATGGAACAGTATTGTCTTTAGTGACGAGTCTCGATTTTGTTTAGGCATGCACGATGGTCGTGCCAGGGTTAGAAGGCGACGTGGTGAAAGGAGGAATCCACAGTTTTTTGTTGAACGACATGTTCATCACACTGTTGGAGTTATGGTTTGGGGTGCTAAAGCTTATGGTTCCAGGTCACCTTTAATCTTCATCAGAGGTAACATGAACGCGCAGCGTGATATCCACGAAGTTCTAGAACCCCATCTTTTACCCTATCTTGACACCCTGGCACATCCAACTATCCAACAAGATAATGCCCGACCACATGTTGCAAGAGTCACAATAGACTTCTTTCAACATAATGATGTCACCTTGTTACCATGGCCACCAAGATCTCCCGACTTATCCCCAATTGAGCACGTGTGGGATATGATGGGTAGGAGATTGCTGAATTTGCAACGTCCTCCTCAGACTCTAGAAGCACTTCGAGAGGAGTTGGTGGTTGCCTGGAAAGAGATACCACAGGAGGACATTGACCACCTGATCAGAAGCATGCCTAGGCGCGTTGGAGAATGCGTAGCACATCAGGGTGCATCCACACATTATTAAAGGTCAAAGGGCTTTAAAGCAGTGCAATCATTTTGAAATATTTATCATTTACCTATTATGCTTCATTAAGTACTTATACAAAATTTTATTAAAATAAAACCACTTAAACTGGGTGTTCGGATTTATATGTCACTTAGTATACATAATTTCATTGGCAACAATGAAATTTATGTGAAGTAAAAGTGCCGCTGCGACCAGTACTATGCAGTCCTGGATACTATAATCGGAGGACTTAAAAGACGGTTCGCTGACGAAGTATTGGAGGTGGCAACTACAGGTTAAGAGTTTCTTCACTTTAACATAGAAAATATTGCAAATCATCTCACTTCCTAGGGCTCATTCCATTCAGTCTTAGAAAGTACCAGACATAAACCAACCTATAAACCAGCTAACATTGGTGGACATATAATCTACTAGGAGTTGAGACACATTACTTTTTATCTGTAATTTGGGACATAGCATTTCTGTTTGATATTGTCTTCACAGCTGAGAAATTAATTTTGACACGTCAGAATTATAGTATAGCCTGGTTACAAAAACGGCAACAATGAAATTCATCTGAAGTAAAAGTGCCGCTGCGACCAGTACTATGCAGTCCTGGATACTATAATCGGAGGACCTAAAAGAAGGTTCGCTGACGAAGCATTGAAGGTGGCAACTAAAAGTTAATAGTTTCTTCACTTTAACATAGAAAAAATATTCACAGGGGTTAAACAAAGTCACGCATGTATTCCTATACATGTTGTCGAAGCAAATCCTAATAAGCCCGAAAAAAAATCTCGGAATGAGTTGATGTAGTTACTGCAGGACCTAGTTTTCTTTGAAGGTGATATTAATTTATCCGAATTTTTAAAAAAAAATCCACAAGTATCAAATTGATAATAATTGAATAAAATCTTCAATGAGTCAACAGTGGCTTTCAAACTTAGTTCTTCCGTTTCCTGAGACCAACATAATGAGAAATATACGGTTAGAATACTAACTGACACCTTTGCCGAAATATGGGTGAATAAAATAGTTTTCATTTAATGTCCAATTTTATAGATTTAAGGGCTCCTAGAAACAAAACAAATTTGAAAACTTGCAATAAGTGAACCCCAGCAAACTCCGCCCATGGTTGCTTAACACACATTTCAAGTGTTCAGAATCTTACATTTGTCTAGTGTCTTAAATTGCGTGTAGCAATTTTTTTCTTCATTCTATTCTCGTTATTTGATTTTACTGTTTTAGAAAAATATTCTCATTTTTAGGAGCTGTTTATCGAGGTACAAGCATTTTGCATAGAATTCAGCAGAATCCGTGAGGCTGCAGCATTGTTTCGTCTTTTAAAGCAACTCGAATCTGGGGAATTGGGTCTGGTTTCATCGCCACCATTACCTAAAACGTAAACTAGATGGATAATAGGAATGACATATTTTTTCATAAATGCTGACAAAGATTACAATTATTGTACTAGTGTTTACCGATTTATTTTAATAAATGTGATATTTGTATTCATTGTTATTTTATTGAAATACCTTGGTCAAAAAAGTTTTGGGATTACGCATTGTAATATTTTTCACTTCCCATATCAGCAAACGAACATGCGACTTCGAGATATTGTCACGTGCCAAAATCACGTAACCTTTTTTTTTCTATTTATCTCTTACCAGTAATTTTAATTTCTCTATATTGATAATAGAGTGCCCATTCCTAGGCCAAACCCTTTTCAATGATTTTCTATTGACTAAAAGAAAGCAGATATTGAACGAACGTCATCAGGACACGCATTAAGGCACGTGGTTCGAAGGTATATAAAAGGAACTTACCGCTGAGGGTCAAAATCCCATAAAAAAATGGAAGACGTAGCACCCAAACCAAAATGACTAAACTCAAGTTACACAAAAAAAGGGTGCTAGTCCATTAATTGTGGCCTTATATCCCATCAGAGTCCGGAAAATGACGAAACAACTCCTCCACCACAACCTCGACGGCAACAGAAAAGCGAATCACGCCGAACACGTAACGTTCTAGAAGAAGGTATCTTGAATGGCCTTGAAGAAGATATGTTTTATAGGAAACCAACTAACGGAGAAAAACTACAGAGTTTATGCTGATCGTCAACACCATGCTGAATCGCTGAGAAAGAAGGATATAATACGAAATACACTATTAAATTTGCAAAAAGAAAATCATTGAAAAGGGTTTGGCCTAGGAATGGGCACTTTATTGTCAATGCAGAGAAATTCAAATTACTGATAAGTGATAAATAGAAAAAAAGTTTACGTGATTTTAGCACGTGACAATATTTAGCAAAAAGCGAGAGAAGAATTATGATCACAAAAATTCTCGAATTTCATTCAAGTTCTTTTGATGTGTTAGGGCATTGACCAACATATTGAGCCAGGTGAAATACGTGTATCAATTGTTATTGGCATTTTTCTGTCCGCGTACTAGAATAAACGACTGGGTCGATTTTGCAGGATTTATAGTGCAGAGTTGGAGTTATCGTAGGTAAATTATTTGTGTATTGAAAATTTCTGATTTGTACATATGAAAAATGTCTAAACATATATGACTGTAAGGGAATTACCAAATCCATTTACTTCACTCACTTTCAACAAAAACTGTTCATACATTTTCCATTCGGTTTTTTCACTTATTTGTAACATGCAAATAATCAGCTGATAGTTACGTATTTAAAGCAAGTCACTTCTGTGGCAAGAATTGTTACAAAAAATTGGTCCAGTGATGAATGAAAAAATAATAAAAATTACAAACTTCCCAAAGATTCGTTTTCTTTAAATATTTCTAGGGCAGTTGGAAAATGTTTGATAGAGCTAGTTGATGAAAAATACTAGTACTCGTATTGTGATTTATCTGGAACGTAACGAATAAATAATAGTTTAAAAAAACACGCTTTTATAGCTAACCGAACTAAAAAATAGATAAATAATTTTTGATTACACAGAGTTTATATTACAATCAATCATAGTTGACGACCTCAAAATTAAATTATAATAAAATTTAAGTTATTAACAGAATAATTTAATTCAGAGTAAAAAGTGTGGGGTGCATTTTAATACATTTTCATAACTCTCATCTCATAGATAGTTGCCAAATATAAACTCTTTGTAATTAAAAATTATTTTCTACTTCTTAGTTCGGTTAGCTATAAAAGCGTGTATTTTTTTAGTTTTCTCAAACTATCATTTATTTTCATTTTTTAGTTCGATTTGTCAATTAGTTTTCTCCATATATCTATTCGATAAAAGTTTCTGCCTTGTTTTTCTGAATTAAAATTCGTTATTTATAAGTGTTTATGATTAGATATTATACTAGTGACATATAAATCCGAACACCCAGTTTAAATGGTTTTATTTTAATAAAATTTTGTATAAGTACTTAATGAAGCATAATAAGTAAATGATAAAAATTTCAAAATGATTGCACTGCTTTAAAGCCCTTTGACCTTTAATAATGTGTGGATGCACCCTGATGTGCTACGCATTCTCCAACGCGCCTAGGCATGCTTCTGATCAGGTGATCAATGTCCTCCTGTGGTATCTCATTCCACGCAACCACCAACTCCTCTCGAAGTGCTTCTAGAGTCTGAGGAGGACGTTGCAAATTGAGCAATCTCCTACCCATCATATCCCACACGTGCTCAATTGGGGATAAGTCGGGAGATCTTGGTGGCCATGGTAACAATGTGACATCATTATGTTGAAAGAAGTCTATTGTGACTCTTGCAACATGTGGTCGGGCATTATCTTGTTGGAAAGTTGGAACTGCCAGGGTGTCAAGATAGGGTAAAAGATGGGGTTCTAGAACTTCGTGGATATAACGCTGCGCGTTCATGTTACCTCTGATGAAGATTAAAGGTGACCTGGAACCATAAGCTATAGCACCCCAAACCATAACTCCAACAGTGTGATGAACATGTCTTTCAACAAAAAACTGTGGATTCCTCCTTTCACCACGTCGAGACTCGTCACTAAAGACAATACTGTTCCATTCCTGATCCCAGAGTGACCGTTGTCTGCACCACTCAAGGCGATTACGTCGGTGTTCTCAAGTTAAAGGGAGGACCCAGTGTGGCCGGTATGAAAACAAGCCAAAACTTCTCATTCGTCGGTAAACACTTCGCATGCCAATAGGTCTTCCGTGTTCTGCAAACCATTCATTTGCAATGGACCTGGTAGTGGAGAAACGGTCCCTTAAGGCCAATAATCTTAGGCGGCGATCTTCACGGTCTGTTGTTCTACGGCGGCGTCCAGTGCCCCTTGCTCTTTGCGTACGGCCTTCTCGAAGCCATGCCTGTCAACACCTAACCACAGTGTCTACACTTCTTTGCACTCTAACTGCAATTGCCCGAAAAGAAAGTCCAGCTTCCCGAAGTCCCACTATACGGCCCCTATCAAACTCACTAAGTTGACGAAATCGTACAGGTCTCCGTACTCTAGGCATCGTAACCGATCGTAAAGGATGTCAAGAACCAAAATCCGCCAACGTTGATTCTTTACTGCGGCTGAAATATTCATTTTTAGAGCGTTAGTGAATTAAAAGAAAGCAGTATAAAAACCGGAATGTCCAACTGATAAGGCTGAAAATTTTTTCACTTGTTATTTACAGTAAGATAAATACATTCACCAACTTTTATTAAAATAAAACCATTTAAACTGGGTGTTCGGATTTATATGTCACTTAGTATATTTGTGTATTGAAAATTTCTGATTTGTACATATGAAAAATGTCTGAACATATATGACTGTAAGGGAATTCCCAAATCCATTTACGTCACTCACTTTTAACAGAAACTGTTCATACATTTCCATTAGGTTTTTTCACTTATTTGTAACATGCAAAAGATACAAATAATAACCTGATTAGTTATGTATTTAAAGCAAGAATTGGTTCAGTAATGAATGAAAAAAAAAATTACAACTTCCCAAAATTTCATTTTTAAATATTTCTAGGGCAGTTGGAAAATGTTTGATAGAGCTAGTTGACGAAAAATACTAGTACTCGTATTGTGATTTATCTGGAGTGTAACGAATAAATAATAGTTTAAAAAAACACGCTTTTATAGCTAACCGAATTAAAAAATAGATAAATAATTTTTGATTGCAAAGAGTTTATATTACAATCAATCATAGTTGACGACCTCAAAATTAAATTATAATAAAATTTAAGTTATTAACAGAATAATTCAATTCAGAGTAAAAAGCGTAGGGTGCATTTTAATACATTTTCATAACTCTCCTCATAGATAGTTGCCAAATATAAACTCTTTGTAATTAAAAATTATTTTCTACTTCTTAGTCCGGTTAGCTATAAAAGCTTTTTTTTTGTTTTTTCAGACTATTATTTGTTTTTCATTTTTTAGTTCGATTTGTAAATTAGTTTTCTCCATATATCTATTCGATAAAAGTTTCTGCCTTGTTTTTCTGAATTAAAATTTGTTATTTATAAGTGTTTATGATTAGATATTATTTTCATGATAATTCATTCCTTCTTTATCGACTGTAAAACCAAGGAATCGTACTTGAAACAGAAGTAATGACACATATACTCCCGGCACGGAGAGAGGTAACTGCGGAATATGCTGACACAATCAGGCATTTTTCCACACGTCTAGTTAATTAAAATTACGGTCTTGTTTTTATAAGTCATATTCGTTATTTGTATTTCAATCAAGAAGACTTAATAATTACAATTTCTTTGATCATATTAAATTCCTTCTTTATCGACTGTAAATTCAAAGCTTTGCTGTTACCAAACTTTGTTCCATAAAATAAATAGATTGAAATTTATGTCCTGATCATTTTGTTGTGAATAAGAAGCCGTTTGTGAATCACAGTTATATATTATATGAATATTATCGCATGTATTAGACTCATTAGTACCTACGCATGTATAAGGAATGAATAAGGTGAGAATGCACTACCTTGAAAAAGTATCTACCTCCATTTTGTGCTGTGCCGAGAGCCCGAACCAACAATCGAAAGTCCGAAACTGTACGCATGCGCAGATCGCGCGCTACCTCTATCTTTCTACTCCCCTACAGAGGATCTATAAAAGAATTTATCAATCTTTGCGTTCCTAATAAGGATAATAGAAAACTGTTATCAATTATTGCATCGTCATCATTGTGATACGTGTGCAAAGTTTCAGATTAATCAAACTTCTGGAAATTGGTGAAAATTATGCTCAAAGATTCTGTATGTAATGGAAAGCATGTTAAAAAACAAAAATTAAGGAAATTAAACAGAATTTATTTATGAAGTTGCAGGTATAAAAAAGGCTAATTGTAATTTGATTATAAAGATTTATTTGTACTGAATATTACAAGTGGGTATACTGCTTTTCAAAGCCTGCACTGTCTTGTCATGATTCTTCACGCTTGATAAATCATCCAATATCAATTGCTTCAAATTACTCAAACTATTCAATGCAAGTAGTCCTTTATCTGTAACACTGCTACAAGATGTCACTTGCAGAAACAAAAGTGATTTTTTGAGATAGTGGAGTTTCTCCAGTGCTTGATCATCAACTAAGTGGCATTTATGTAAAATCAATTTTGTGACATAGTGGCACCCATTGAAGTGGTCGAAACCATTGTACATGATGCTAGAGTTTGTGGCATCGACTTCTTGGATATGACTGTTTGTCCCTTCAGGAGGAAGAAGATTGTAATTTTTGATATATTCATTAGTGTTAGTCCATTTGATTGTGCCTCCATTTCTCAAAATCCACTCAGCACATGCACGATCAGCTCCAAATTGTTTGATACGTTGTTCGTCAACAACATTGAATTGTAAGTTGATCCAATGAAACAACGTTCTTTTGCATCCCAACAACAGTGCAGGGGGCTTCAAAATTGTAGTTACGATACTGGTCATGATGCTAGAACTAGATTCACGTCAACGTTTCACCCTTTGTGACCTGGAATTATATAATATTTGTTTTAATGTGCCAATCATATCAAAATACAAGAATGAACTTACGCAAGCTTCGAGATAATCAATTTTTCTCTCCAACGTTGTTAATTTCTCATTCAGTCCGGCAAGTTTTGAACGACATGACAGATCTGGAAAAATTGGGATGGTTTTGCAACTGTCAAGAAAATGAGTTTACAAACTTACCGAATGAATTTAGGAAATCTGTTATTTTCTTTATGCTGATTGTGATTATTTCAATGTACTCTCTGTTGACCCAATCTTGTTGAATTTGTTTTTGAACAGATTCACTTCTGTTTGGTGTGGCCATTTTCAAAACAACAAAGCCATTGGCATGTGTCAAAAACATATGACGCTTATAATAAGACAATTGTCCGTTCCATGTCGATGCGGCTTTTGTCAACACAAAAGATATGTCAAGGTAAGACGAGCAACGACTCAAGGAGAATAGAAGGTGGAGTGTCATATCAATCTCGAAGCCAGGATCGGCTTTTGATACGTGCTCTGTATTAAGGTAGTGATTGGTCATACATGGTGGCACAACATTCATAGTATGGTTCAAATACTATATAAGCTCTTTGTTTGAGTCGTAATAAGGACTAATTTTTTTTGAAAAAATCTTTACTAATCGGAAAATTTCTGCAAGATCCTGGCCGTTCTGACTGCAATTTAATTACGAATACTGTTTTTCAAATAAGTGAGTTTTCTCTACTTACACTCATAGACACTTGTTCCTACAAATTTGCTCAAGCTTAAAAATCCAGGCGCGGCTTAAAATTCAGTAAATACGCAGGCTTGAGTTGAAACATTGAGTACCCTCTTGAAGTTTGTTCTATAATGTGGCAGAACTATTCGATTTCCAGCGCAAGTAATAAAAACTGTCACGTAAACGTTCAATAGTTCCACCCTACTAAATTTCAATACTGTCCTTTGATGTCGAAAATTTGGAATTAGATAGTTTATTTTTGAGTATTTCCAAGTTTTATACATACGTGTCGCACTTAGAACTGCAGCGATCGATCACTCGGAAAGTTGACAGATTATGACAACCTGAGGTTATGGTACAACTTATATGAGGTATTCTGCTAAAATGTTCAAAATGGTTAAACCGGAAGTGGATGCCAAGTAGCTTATTTTGAATGGAACACTCTGTATATTTTTCAAGTATTGAAATAGTCGTAAGATTCTAAATCCACTCCATGTAAAACATCCGATACCTAACTCTAATAATCGTTTTTGAGAAATATCAAATTTTGTGTAAAAATTACAAATTAATGACCATAAATATCAATTTTTCGTATATCTGTGTGCTTGTCGAACGATTTGTGACTGTTTTCTCATAGAAGGGGTCTACTTCAGTAGACTTCATTATATATTTGATAATTAATAATCAAAACATAGACGACAATCAAATTGTAAAAAATGACAAAAGTCAATTTTTTGCAAATGAAACCCCTGTTTTTATGATACATCATCTAAACCAATAACAATAAGCATAGCTTTGTATAAGGTTATCTTGTTGCCAAATTAGTAGTTCAAGAAATATTTGCAAATACACGTTTTCTGCTGAACCTAAAGTAATTAATTATTAGTAAACTTTGAAAAACCAGCCCGTATTTTCAGAATATTTCGAATCGTATTTTGCGCTACCCTATACTTGGAAGAAATTTTACGTAATTTATTATTATTAAGGGCCATTGAATTTGAAAATTGTCTTAGTAGTAGTTTTTATTTTTAGCTTCTGTTCAAAATAACAGGAACAAAAAAGCTTCGTGGGCTTGTATTTGAACATACCAGTGATGGCGAAATGAATAGCACAAGTTTGTTATTTTTTGTTATATTCAAAATGTACACAAATAATATTATACGGTAATGCATCTTACTACCTATATTATCAATCTAATACTCGTCATCAAATGGGACGTGAGGGTGACCTCAGGCACTGCAAAAGAAAGCACTCTTTACTTTAATTTGCAAAGTCAAATGTAGTAACATATAACAATACAACTATACCGGGTGGCCCAAAAGTTACGGAGCAAACAAAAGGAGGGCTTATTTTCAATAAGGAAAACCACATATGTCCTTTGCCGATTACTCACGATTTTTTTGTTATCGCCACTTTTAGTAATTTTAAGAAAATCGCTGCATTTGAGACTGTACTATTTTTGTATAAGTTATCTTTTGTTATTTTTCATTCAGATTTACAGGATATGTTTCCAAGTGATGTGTCTCTGGAAAAAAGCTACGAGTGCAAATTTAGTCCAGTTAATGTAGCTACAGCAATCGGCTAATCTGCAATAATTATATTTGTTGTCAAGACGATTACTTCATATTCAACGAGGCTTGTATAAAAAATTAGTAGGCGGACAAAGTGTCCATAGTGATGAAAAAATTCTCGATACGATGGCCTTTCAAAATACTCATTAAATAATCAAATATCCTATATAGTTATAAGCGTATAAGTATATCACTATTCTTATCTTGGAAAGATCTATCCAAACATGTTATAAAATATGAAATATTCCATTTAAAAAATGTCAAAGTCGCTCATTTTTTCAAAGTGGAGGTCTCATATTTTATTGCACATTCAGATGCAGATACAATAAGGTTTTGATTATTAGTTGTTAAGTTATAAGCGATTCCATATATAAAAAACGCTGAACGTTGACAGCTTCCCAGTCTGCCATTTTGAAAGATAGTGATATAATATTGCGTTCAAAATCATCAGAAACAAAAACAAAAAGATAAAGTCAAGTTTGGGGTAATTATAGATTTTTAGTTCATAATACTGGTATTATTAGTCAGGCCTCTCAAAATGTAGTGATACCTTCTTTCCAAGTTATTGAAGGACAAATGATTAAATACGTTTTTTGACTGTTATTCTATCGTAACAGGGCCGATTAATAAAAACCATAAATATTTTTCTGTTTGTAATTGAAGGCAAAGATTACCCGACGAACGCCACAAAAAATGTACCTACTATGGTATCTGAAAATTATTCTCCCATTTGATTTTTTTTGCGATTATAGTACTTCCTGGAAAATAGACTTGACTGAAAAAATGAGCACCATGTTTGAATTTTGAGGGATATGTACGCCCAAACAATAGGTATATAAAATTTAAAGTATAGCAAACATCTGTCATAATATTATCTCAAGTGTTGCTTTCAAGTATTGCAAACAACTTGCTCGAGTGTTTTAAGAAAGTAATCCTAGTAGTTTTCCATATCGATATGAGTTATCAAATTATCATGGAATGGATAAAACATTGAAATGCAAATTGAAAGAAAAATATCAAGCATAGTTAAGTAAATATGATTTGTGGAACTTCTAGGAATATTTTTTCCAATGTGCCCCCCTGCTATTATTGTTCATTTGTCAATACACCGTTGCAAAACTTCATTTGTTTGTTTGTTTAAGATTCATTTAGCATGATTGCTACTATTACATTCTTCTAAAAAACTAAACAATTACATAACATACACATATTTAGAAAAAAATGCATCTCTATGAATTTTCATTTTCCATGAAATATTCCTTTAATTGTCTTTTAAATATATTTCAATTACAAGTAGACTTTATATCATTATTTAGTTTATTAAATTCAAATAATCCTTTGTGAAATATTGATTTGCTAGTTAAACTACTATTACAATTTTGTAAATGAAAATCTATATTTCCTCTTGTATAATAATTGTGATCAATTCTATGTAGTGTTCTAAATGTTCTGACAAAAGATGTTTTTTTATTTTAAATATAAAAATAAGAACCAAATATGATATGAAATTTTTTATATTCATCCACTCCAATTCTTGTAACATAGATTTTATTTTGGTGTACTTATCTTTATTCAATATTACTATCATAGCTTTATTTTGCAAAACTTGTAATTTTGAGAATACAGCTTCATTTGCAGTGAACAAGATAGAGGAACAATATCGTAAATGCGGTAGTGAGACTAGGAGAAGCCTTATAAAAGTAATTTGTTTTTTTGACAATTTTTGAAATAATGTATTCGAAGTGATCCCTAAACTTTAGTTTACTATCAATATATATCCCTAAATATTCAATTGATTCAACAGTTTCAATTATTTCTCCATTTATCCTAACTGTGATAGTATTTTCATTTACGTATGTCCCTATTACCATTTTGTTTTAGAAGTATTCAATTTTAGTTTATTTACGTTTAACCAATTTGTGATTTTTGCCAAGTCAGAATTTAGCATTTTTAAAGCAGTGTCTGTATTTTCATCTGATATGTATATTAATGTATCATGTGCAAATATCTGAAGTTTACAATAATCTAAAATATTAAAAATGTCGTTAAGGTATAAAATAAATAGTAGTGGACCTAGTTTACTACCTTGCAGTATACCATCAGAAATATCATTTGATCTTGATAATGTAGATCCAATTTTGGTTTTTTGACTTCTGTCAATTAAATAGTTTTGTAGAATTTTAAATACAGATCCTTTAAATCCGTAGCAATGCAATTTTGTAAGTAATTTATTCCTGTTAATAGTCTCAAACGCCCTTCTGAAGTCCAAAAACGCTGTTACTGTATGTTTCCTATTGTCCATGCATCTCTTCCAATAGTACACTTTTAGACAAAATCTCACTCTTATTTTGATTTGATTTAATTTTTTATATAATCTTCTTGAGACGATTAATGTTTATTGTTCTAAACTCACTGAATGATGCATTATAATCTGAGCTAATGAGACATTGGTTGGGATCCCCGTCAATAATTGATTTTACAATGTCGTTGGCACTTTCTATGAAATAGGTATTCATTCGATCTGATATTATTTCTTCAATTAAAAAACATATTTTTTTCAATATGCCCCCTGCTATTATTTTTCATTTGTCAATACACCGTTGTAAAACTTCATGTTTGAAGGCAATTTTCCAACTTTGCTAATATTAAAATTTTCAATATTTCAAATTGTTTTACGGGGTCGAAGATGGCAAATTTTAACATTTTTTACAAATATTAAATCGCTTTTGTTTGGAAGCTGTCAACTTTAGAGAACCTGGTTTGTTCAGAATAACCTAAAAAATTAAAAAAAAATTGACGGAGTGAAAAATAGTTTTAGGAATTTCAAACAATAATTGTTGGTCCTGGCAACACACAGATTTGATAAAAGGAGACTTTTTTAGGTAAGCTTATGCAAAAAACTAAATCAGAATGTTTTTCAGAGCAAACGGGAACATACCTAGATAACTTCCTACTTTCCAGTATCATCAAACCTATAAAGTGACAGTTGACCGTACCTTGTAAGCCACAGGCCAATGTATGAGATATAAATCCAAATAGTCTAGCTTCAAATCTGCCAAAGTCTTTTTCAGTGTTGGTCTACAAGGTCTAGCCTCATGTGGGTACCCAAAGCTTGCTAGCTATGAAGAAATCTGCTCTTTCAACGATGCCTTGTTTAATCTTTTCTTGAATCACTTGGCCAACTTCGGGCTCATTTTCGTAAAACCTGGCACAGTCAAAATGCCTGTACCCCACATCTATGGCATGCTTCACAGTTTCTTTTACCTTAACAGGCTTAGACTGAAAACAACTGTAATGGGTCTTAAATGATATCCAAACCATTGTCCTATGAGACAGTTAAATGTTAAAATACGAGAGCCATTTTTAAAGTAAGAGTTGATTGCGCATCGTGCCCTAGCATCCTGTCACGTGGCACCAGTTCAACCTCAGACACTCTTGACCAGTCTCTCTCTACGTTCCACGTCTCTTTCGGGGTTTGTTGGGTGGTTATACTGCTTTGTTTGTCGCCATGTCAATCAGTAATTCGGGTTTTAAACGCAAAAAGGTTCCTCCTGCTGAAATTTACCAGCAGATTGTTGAATTGGCGCGTTATTCAAAACCACGGGCGTGGCTTGCTCTCTTGCGGCGTCGTTCAGCTTCACGACAACGCTCGGCCTCATGTTGCAACATGCAAGTACACAGACGCGACTGGACCGGTTGGGATCACTTGTTCATCCGAATATCATCGTTAACCAAAACTTAAAAAACTCATTGGTGGAAAACGCTTGAAAACTGATAACTAGTTAAAAGAAACAGTAACTAAGTGACTTAAAAGCGCCTTTTGACAACGAGCCAGAATGCTGGTGGTATGACTTGACAAAGGTTTAAATATTGATCATGACTATATTGACGAACATTTAAATTATACGAGCCCCTTCCCACTTCAGTTGTCCCACTTAAAGATTTGTACCAAAATATGCATTTATAAACTAAACATGACGAAACTATTTACTTCTAAAACAATTTATTTTCTCAAAAACATTTTAGATACACTCTAGTCGTAAAAAATACATATTTGAAATCACTTAGACCCATAACTAATAGAACATCTGAACAAATAAAAATAATGTGCGAATAAATGCGCGAAGTTAACAAAGCCACAATTGAAAGATTACCATTGGGTAACATCACCTTTATTTTTTATTACGGCTGAAATTCTAGGGGGCATAGTGTTAACCAAGTTTTGACAAAAATTTGGTGTAAAACAACCCCATATTTCTTGAAGCTTATGTCTCAGTTCGATGATTGTACGAGCAGGATGTTGTCGTAGAACATTTTTCATCTCGTGCCACAAAGTTTCAAAAGGTGACAGATCTGGACTGCTAGAAACCCATTTCAAAAGAAGTACATTATTTTCTTCCATCCATTTTATAGCCTTTTTTGAGGTATGGCACGCTGCACCATCTTGCTGAAACACAAAATCTTGGCCGGATGTCAAACATTCTTCCATCACTGGTAAAAGCGATCCTTCTAAAGTCGCCAAATATTTGTTTGTATCCACATTTCCATCAATAAAATGAAGTTTTCCTACTCCTTTTGATGACATACTGCCCCAGACCATAATGGATGTTGGAAATTTCACTTTTCTCTTCAAACAGTCAACATGGAATGCTTCATTTTTTTTGCGAATAACTCTACTGCGACTGTCACCAACACAAACTTCGAATCAAGCCTCATTACTCCATTGTATTGTACACCATTGTTGAGGTGTCCGTTTGTCTATGTTCATTAGCCCATCTAAGCCGATTTTTCTTTTGCAGTGGAGTTAATAGTGGCTTTTCTTTGGCCTATAAACAAGCTGTGCAACTTTAGCGTTTTTACTTCACTTTTTTTATAAGAAAAATTACCTTGCTAAATCCCAGTTTGTGGGCCTCTCTATGAGTTGTGGACCTCGCAATTCTCCTCCCAACAGCCTCACTCCACAGAGCACTTAATTGTAAATAATTGGCACGCCTGTTTTTCACGATTATTCTTCTTAATGCTCTTCGGTCAGCATTTGTGATATTACTTTTTTTCACATATGGTGGCTTAATATTAACTGAACCAGTTACGTTATAATTATCTTCTAACAATATTTTTCACACTGTACCGCGATAAGTCTAACAAAGTTGCAATTTCTGAGTTTGATTTCCCAGAATTAAAACAATTGATTATCAGTAACCGAATTTTCTCACTAATAACCTTTCCTCTACCCAGTTTGAAAACCTTAACTACCCAAAACTATTTTAAACGTATTCTGACAGCTGTGATTAATAAAAACAATTATAATGGCTTTTATTTTTCACAGCCACCTATGTGTTATAGTCTTATTTTGCATTGAAATGAAAATAGGTTGATATGCTGTAATTGCACAATGTGTTATTTTTATGCTGCAAATTTGATGAGGGAGTGATAAAGTTGGTGTTTTCTACTATATATTATCAAAATATTTATTAAACGTATAACACCCTGCTACATTTTTATTATTTGTGTTTGATAAGAAAAAAACTAAGATTACAATAGTTGGGCCAACTGAAGTGGGAAGGGGCTCGTAGTTTGTCATACAATTTAGGCTCATAAATAAAGTTTCTCTAGCTCCATATCAAAAGGGTTCTTACTTTAAAAACGTTTCTCTTACGTGGTTTTCGGCGTTTTCGAATAAAGTTTCTCACAGCTTTTTCGCTATAAAAATATCGCATCGGCCCTTCGATTAAAATTACAAAATCCAACCATCTATGGTGTAGTGATGTCGCATTAGCATTATAGCATTATTTTTTTAACCATTTAAGCTGTACTTGCAAAAAAGTTGTATGTTCCTCCACCATTCTTACTAGTGTGTAGTGTGCACTTTAGTTTTTTACAGCTATTGCGTGCAAAATGTATATCCTTACCCTCCATGTTCCCAAGCCGAAAATAGGAATCTCTTTTTTTTCTTTATTCAATTTTCTTTTGGATACATTAGCCATTTTTGAATTTCTCAGATTTTCAGGATCTGCTTCTACACAGATACTAGATCTAATTATCGTTATCAAGGTTTGATAAAATGCTTAGATAAATACTTAACAGGAACTTATCTGCTTATGCTATATAAATACTTACACGGATTCGCTGATAAAAAAAAGAGCATCAGATGGAAAAATACCAAGGGGTCGGCTGAAACCAAAGTAGACAAAATACTAATATCAGAGCTAGGGCTAGACGGCCATGTCCCCAGGACCGCTGTGGATAGCTTTAGGACAGGGGTAAGCTTTTATACCCTATTTCACGAGTATCCATCATAGTAGAATGAAAGCTGATTAGCTAGTAATATTTAAAAATTCCCCATATCGGTGAAGGACCTACAACTTTGCCAGGTGGACAGAGCCATTTTTTGTTTTGGTTTTTTACACGCTACAGATTCATTTTGTACTTGCTAAAAGCTCTTTTATTTAGAAAAGTTTATTTGCATACAAAAAACAGAACGCTACAAACCAATTTTTGCTATGTTAGATTTACATTGGATTCATTCTAGCCCTGTCGGCCATTCCTGTCCGAAGTGTGAGATTCTCCAGAAGCGACGTACTTTCTCCCTAGAACCGCTCAGTCGTTAGCCACACATCCCACCACGGTAATGCTTGTCGCATTTCTTCATAGTGGGTAACGTTACGCTAGGTTTTCATACCAAAGGATTTAGACATCCATCATCGTACATGTACAACCTACTCTTGGTTCCTTGATCTATTTTTGTCCTCCTGTACCTTGCTTAGCATCATCCGCCTCACTATGGTTTGAATAGCAACCCATTTGCTCTTGGTTACGTTTGTGATAAGCTTGTCAGCAGTGAGCCTTTCATCAGGCGTGAATTCCAGCTGTCTCTAGCAGTTCGCGTACTCTCTCTTTTCTACACTCTTCAGGTAGCTGTCAAAACAATCACGTCATGTGAGGAACTGGGCAGTATAGTAATCTATCCGCACCGCTTCCTTGTTAATCCAAGTTTTAATATCTGGGACCAGCGGTCTACTCCATGCATCATGGCTAGTTGCATCCCCTCTCTCCTGCCATCTGATAGAAGGCGTTTCTCTTTCGTCACCTTCAGCTTTGGCGCCCTTTTTATAGCGCGTGCATCTTTTTAGCTAGCAAAACAGTTGACGGGGTACCAGCCACCACCAGTAGCACATCGGTCGATACCTTTCTGTAAACGCACAAGACATGTAGCACTAATGATTAATGGCTACTGAGCATTATCGGTCTATATTTCTTTTTCCTCGAGGCCTTGCTATAGATAAAGCCGTACAACATAATCGAATTTGTCGCCGCTGCCAAAATCTTGCGCCTCTCACACTCTCACTACTGGGGCCTCCATCAGGTGGCATTAGCCATATGAGATATGCGACCTTACCTTGTCAGTGGTGAGCCTTATATGTTCAAAAATTTTCAGATCTTTATCGAGCCACATAGCCAGAGCAGAAAAATGGTTGTTCCTGTTGATTTGAGCATCGAATGACGTTGAAAAAGGTCTAATTTCTGAGAAGGTGGCTGGAAGTCCGAACATCATGGGTGACCGCAGGGGGGAGGTTGGGGAGACCGTGCTCCCCCCTGATAATCCGGTTGGAACTTCTTATTTGCAATTTTGGGATTTTTTTTATTTGACAACCGTCGCCCCCTTAGAAAATTTGCTACCCCCGCTGTTCAAAAGGTTTCGGGGGCAAACACGTTTTTACCAAAGATTGTCTCTTGGCAAGGATCGCCCCCCCCCCTATGCCTACGAGTGCCCATGCCGCGAGTAAAACCCAACTATTGGTAGCTTGTTTTTAGTTGAAACGTATCCTGTAATTGCTCCTTTGATCCGCAGGCATATACAGAAAAAGCAATGGAGGGTGCTCATATTTCACAACGAGTACTTCAAGAAAATTACGCCAAATAAAATGTTTCATATGAAAATTGTGTGCTTATTGTTTATGATCACAGATATTCTGAGACCATTTCGACGTTAATTAATAATTTAATAAAAGAAATTATTGCAAAAAGCTGTCAAATATGGATCGCTTTCAAATTGCTTATACGAGTATCTACCTCAAAAACGAATTGATTTCGATGAAACTTGGTAATTCTGTAAGTCCTTGTAGAGCACAATATGAGGGGCGTTTGATATATCGAAAAGATTGTACAATATGTTTCTCAAGCTAGTACGATTAAAACCTCAGATTCTGCATGCAGAGTTTTACTGAGGTGTCAGCTGGCGCGACAATCTTTTACGGTTGAAAAAGGATTTTTTTTCGAAATCTCTAACAGCGTTGACGTTAATAAGTTTCTCATATTTTTTTAGATTTTCCTCATTCTATAGCATGATCCAGTATCTTAGAGTACTTTCCAAACAGATTCCCCTTCCCTACTTATTTTTTGATCAGATCAAGTTAGCAAGCTGTTTATTATTCAAATCGCCTTACAACACAACAATATATGAAATAACAATGAAGAAAAAAATCAATTCCTGGTGCTTGGCCTTCGCACTCAGTACTCGTCGTTTGCAAAGGGATGATCCTTATGCGTTAGGGCACTGAAAGGAAATGACATCAATATAGTGAATTGAAAAAACATGAAAAATTCGTATGACGTACTTTCAAAGCTGAATTCATTTTTGTTTACACATATACATATATGCATAAACTACTCACTCTGTATATGGACAAATACGCCCGTTGCAATCAAATGAATCAAGAAGAGTCATATCGTCCTGTGACAATTCAAAATCCCAAATTTCAAAATTTTCTTGGATCCTCTTTTTATTCACTGACTTTGGAATTGTTATACAGCCTCTTTGTACCTGATATTTCAGTATTACCTGTGCCGGTGTCTTTCCATACCTGGAATTTACTACATGTCACGCTACACGCAGGTTCAAAATAAAAGCAACAAGCAAAATTTTGGTCAAATACGTAACGTCATGACTTTTTTATCTTTTTACCCGATTTAATTGATTACTTCGACAAGCGGTAGGTACACTCATTGGCTTTATTATATGAATATGAGTTCCTGGTTGTCGCCTTGGTTGGACTTGTTGCAGAGGGTAAATCAAAATGATGTTTCATTACTCCAACGTTGTGTCACTCTATGATGTGACTGCAGTTGCTTTCCATTATCAAGAATCGCATTTTCAATATACAGAGTGGTTGAATTTTTAGAGGCAAATGAAGATTTTACCACCAATTTTGCTTCTTCCTTTCATAACATTTTTTAATTGCCGTACGAAGTCAAAAAGTTTGTCATGGACTTGTATAGACATCTATTGCCTTTCTGTGCTAGGTTCACATTTTTTTCTACCATCATTGCTTCTACTTATTTACAGTGGTGAAGAAAATGAAAACGTTTGGCTTAATTTAAGAACACACTGTGTTTGACAATTTCACGCTCTACCCTTCGGAATGCAGTCTCAGGGTAATAACAATCTCCCTCATTATCTAATTTTGGGTTCATCAAAACTCGAGCGAGTAATGTTTGGAGCAGAATAAAAGTAACACAACAATTCAGAGATTTTTATCAGTATTATATTCTTCAGATAGACGCTTGCAGAAAAAATCAATGAAATCGGGTAAAAAATAAAAGTTATGAGGTTCCGAATTTCCTATACATTATTGTTTTTTTATACATACTACTCTTCAAATCATTCATGAGGCAGGTTGATGATAGTATTGCCATTACTAATTGCTAAGGATCCCAGTAAAATGATTGCCATTACCTTTCCGCTATAGTCTTGATTTTTGGATCTTCCAATAGCTGAGGATCACCAGGTTTTGCCCAAGGTCTGTCTGGAGAACCCAGCGGGCTGTAAGCAGTTATAGTAATATTTTTTGACTTGCAAAACTCAATCAGCTTCTTTTGGTTGAGATAAGGATGCACTTCAATCTGCAAAACAGCTCAGTGAGTCAATACGCAGCATTGAAAAGAAGATGCAAACACACGTACTGCACGCTTCTCCCTCGTACACATTACGAACGTCAGTGGTTTACGGATTTCACTGTATAGAGTATCTTGTTATCCATTCTTTTTTTAATAAAAATTGAATATAACAAATATATGCCATTGATGCACAAAGGTATTATTTAAAACGAATTTAAAAATAAGACCCTTTATTTGAAGCTCCAAAGGGGCCGTTCAAGTATTACGTAAGCAGATTTATTACAATTATTTACCCCCCAACAGGTCTAACTTTCCTATCAGTGTGCGTGTTTACTTTTTTTATGGATATTTTCGATGTGACGATTTAGTGACTTGACGGAAGCATGATAAAGACCATACGTTTTGCATGTTCGACTTGATAGCCTCAATTTTACCGTTGGACAAAAATAATCGTAGGGCATTTGCAGGAAATCTTTGAGTGAAGCACTTAAGCGTAGAGCTAAATTGACTGGAAGATTGAGAAATTGCCCTCCTTCATCCAACACCAAGTCATCAACTGTTTGTTTTACTTTAACAGGTGGTGGAAGAAACCTATTGTCTAGTAATCTAAATACCACTTCTTGGACGACAGCATTCTGTATTTCTACATTTTACCATTTGAAGCAAGTATTGGCTCTCACGCACATGTTCTGAATACCATTTAATGTCTGGAAAATCAGGAAGATCTTGTTCACCTGCCCCAACATATTTTGCATTAACATTATAGCCATCAATTTCCATTGAACTCCATACTTCAGCTAATACATTTCCTGCAAATTCGAAATTAGATCTTTCTAAATGTTCATCAATTGTAACGCCACTTTCATCCAAATGAGACCCAAAATGGTCATGAAGCAATATTAAACCAGCCAGTTCCCGACTAAGAGGAGCCATTCTGCGCTCTACTCTGTTATACGCATTTCTTCCAGGAGTATTGGTGGCTAAAAACAATGCATCGAGATCTTGTCGCTTAAAGGGTTGTATAGCAAACCCTATGACTTTTTGATAACGTGGATTTTCATCTGGCCCTCCATGAACCGCCATGATTACCACTGGTTTTACTAGCCCATGGTCAGTTTTAGCTATTGGTCGAAACTCTTCAAGTTCGAGAAGCGTCTCGAAATCCTTAGCATGAGTATTAGCAGTAGATGAACTATGCTTTCCACTTCGAATAGCGATATATGTTGGTCCAGATTATCCAACGGCTTGCGGTTGTCCTAGCATATTGAAAGTGATTTTGATACCAGCATAAACAGATGGTATTAATTTATGACGCTCAGCGAGTGTTGATTGCTTTCAAGATTAGGACGTCCCATTGAATCCCTCAGAGATAGTCTTTTTTTTATTTCTGGGTTTCATGACAAATTTCTTTTAACTTTATTTTCATACCATCCCTGTGTTTCTTCTGGGCAACTGCGTTTTGAACCTTCTGTTTAAAGACTGTTTTGCTGTTTTTATTTCCTCGCGCAACTTAATGATCTGTTTATCAACTTCAGCACGGCTTGGCACAGTATCTCTGGCAGAATACAAAGCATTCAGATTTTTTTCGAGTAGAGCAATCTTATTTTTCATAGCTTCCTGAGAAGGTTTTGCTCTCTGTTTATCTGTATTTTCATTAATTTCGCATTGCTGTTGTGATTCATTACCGGGTTTTATTTTATCTTCTTCCTCTTTTTTAATATTTGAAGCTGACTGTATAATTTGTGTTTTTTCTGCAGGTTTACAGGTTGCCAAAAAATAAAAACTTTCTATGGCTTCTGCTAAAGATTCTCTTATTAAGCTACATAAGTACAAAGTATGGCAATATATATGGTAAATACAAAACCCTATGGCTTTAAATCTAATAGGTTTAAACGAGCAATTCGTTCCGATCACAAAATACAGGGTGTTAGTTTTCTGTATATATGTATAAAACTAACATCCTGTACTTTACTTTATAAGAAATAAATCTATAATATAATGAATATTACCTCTATACTTTGAGATAGGCCATAATATTTTCTAGTCAGTAATGAGAAACTTTTTGGCGATTTCTAATATTTCTAGTACTCATAGGTACCTAAAATGATTTTGCCACTCACCTTAGAAAAAAATTTAGTAGATTGGATTTATTCTTAGTCGCCGCTTGCAATTCTTCTTCGATTCTCTTAGATACAATAATATCTAGTTCCCTGTCGGATTTTGCTTGTAATTTGTAATTTCGCCACACTTTGTTAACTAACTTTTCTACATTTTGTACTTTCGTACTTGTATGAGATTTTTTAAAACTTTCAAACAACTTTTGGTATAACTTGTGAAACGACATCTTATTTAAACATTAAACTTTGGCTAATGGAATCAATGGTAACACAAATGTTAACTTGCTTTACTATGCTTACAATACGTCTAGTCGCTATAGTAACCAAACGAAACAATACACGGATAGAGGAAATTTAGACAAGTGAACACCGCGCGGTAATTCCCCTACTCGGTTCTAAAGCGAGTGGGGAATTACCGCGCGCTGTTCACTAAACGTATGCATTATTTGCGGGAATCCCCGAAAATGCGTTTCGTTTTCAAGCAAAGACAATGTGAGGGTTGCCATTCGTGTAAAGAAGTAAATAACTACCGATGACGTAATCATCATCTAGACTCCCCTACCCCCTCCATGTCATCCAAAATAAGCAAAGCAAAGACCCCCCCCCCGCCCCCCCCCATAGCGCTCACGTAATACTTGAACGGCCCCAAAGACATTTTAGTTTGAAAAGCTACAGGCGCATTTCCAATGATTAAGTCTTAAGTTATTTAGAACCTTTCTGTCTATTGTTAATTTTTTTAAAATGTACAAAGGGCTATTCTGTCTATAATGATATTCTTCATTAAATTATATCGGCAACTCCTCAAAATATAAATAAATACATTCCATATAATACTAAGATTATCATGTAAAATCGCTGTCTTAAAAAAAATTAAGCAAATAGTCCAAATGTTTAAAAGAAAACGCTCTAATATAATGAATTTCGTATCGGCAAGCGAAACATTTGTCACTGAGTGACGTCATGCGCAAAGACGTACGAAATTCGATCGCTAAGTGAGCATATCTTACAGTTACAGTTTCATGGTTTGTTGTCCTAGTTGAAACCAAGCTATATCACATATTAAATTCAATAAACTTGAGAAAATATTATTTATTAATTCGGAATATGTTCATTAGCATTGAACAAGCTTTGAAAAGTTTACCTGGTTAGTGACTGGTGGAACTGTACAATTTGCCAAAAGTCTTTCTAGTTGCCGCTTATTAAAGTTGGACACCCCAATTGATTTTGTGAGCCCTTTCTTTTGAACTTGTTCCATGGCTTTCCAAGTATCCACGTAATCTGCGTCGCTAAAAATTGCTTTGCCTTCTGCATCTACTGGGAACAGCTCATCGCCTTCCTATTCAAAACAAGTATTAGTTTAGATGTGGTTTCGTGTTTTTTGTTGATAATGTAGAACCATTTATAATTTTTGTTTTCTTTATCGCTCCTGTAAGTCATATTTGAACAGAGCAAAAAAGACGAAAATTGTTGATAAGGTTATACCTATACTCTCCTGTTTCATTCAAAACATACATATCCACACCAAAGCCATATACAGAGAAATCCAAATATCACTGACGAAGTAATGTGTAAGCTAGGGAAGCTGCGAAAAGCATGCAATACGTGGCCTTGTCACTCGGGTTGCTATGCAACGTGGTACTCTATCTCTTTCTAACATACGTATTGCTCTCTCCTCACACTTCTCCTCGCTCCTACATATTCGACGTCAGTGTTGTATCGATTTCACTGTATATAGTAGAGAAATTGCATCATCAAATGCAAGGTTTCTTTAAAGTGTTACCTTGAGAGCAAACGGCCAGTGGATGAGATACAAGTCCAAATACTCTAATCCTAAATTCTGCAGAGTAGTTTTCAAAGCAGGTTCGACCATATCCGGCTTATGGTAGGTATTCCAAAGCTTGCTGGTAATATACAAATCACCTCTTGTGACAGTACCGTCTTCCATTTTCTTTTTCAGAGCGGCACCAACTTCTTTTTCGTTGGCGTATACATGGGCACAATCAAAATGACGATAGCCTACGTCGATAGCATCCATTACTGCTTGAGTTACTTCTCCTGGTTTTGACTACAAATAATTGGTCAAGTAGTATGAAAGTTATCTCTTGGCAATGATCCCCCTGAAAAAACTTCCTGCGGGCGCCCATTAGTATGAATTCAAAAATGTTTTTCTTATAATTTGTATCTTAATAGTTTTGACTTATTTTTGTGCTTTCGCCAACACGTTTCCTGAACTTAGGTACCATGCAGTTACTGTAACTGATGATTTCAATTTCAATTATACATGCTTTCAGTCAATTTATTCACGTATCGTTAATCTTAATTGCAACTTAAACTTAGAAATGTATTGCCTATAATTACGAAATGTTTCATCATTTAGTTTTTATACTCTGCCGTTTTAGGGCTTAAGGTTTTACCCTTCCCCAGTTGCGCTCTTATTACATCCAAATACAGGGTGGTCCATAAGTCCTTTGAAATTTCAAATTTGAATAAAATTTAACGGGTGAGCGTGAGCGGCGCGGGCGAGGTGGGGGCAGTATCTTCAGTGTCTGGGAATTCAGTCGCCATGGAGTGTTTCACTGGAGCGTATCGTGCTTTTTGTGTGCGCGCGTTTTATCAAAATAATGATTCGGCAACCATTGCGCGGCGTAAATATCGAGAATACCACAATTTACACAATTTTACAAAGTGTCCAACAGCTCAAACGATTAAGAACTGGGTTGCTAAGTTCGAAGAGACTGGTTCGACGTTAGATAAACAGTGGTGGGGTCGACCAAGGACAACTCGTATTGAAGAAAACATCAATCATCATTGTGGCACAGTCTGTTCGTCAAAATCCTACCCAGTCTACTCGTAAGCGTTCCAGTGCACTAAACGTACCCAGAACATCTTTACAGCGGATTTTAAGGAAAGATTTACGTCTGCACGCTTAAAAAATTCAGTTAGTGCAGGAATTGAAAGATAATGACGCTATTCAGAGACTAAACTTTGCGAATGAAATGTTGAATCGATTTTTTCTTCGCTCAATAATGTGTTGTTCTCGGAAGAGGCTCACTTCCATTTAAACGGGCATGTAAATAAACAAAATTGCCGTTATTGGAGCCCCGAAAATCCAAGGCGTAAGCATCAGAAGCCCTTACACAGCCCTAAAGTTACAGTTTGGGCTGCTATGTCAGCGCATGGCATCGTAGGCCCTTATTTTTTTGAGGACGACAGAGGTCGCGCATTAACTGTTACTTCGGAGCGGTATGTAGCAATGATAGAAGAGTTTTTGACACCAGCGTTGCAGAATTTTCCAGGCTATAATACGCAGACCTGGTTTCAACAGGACGGAGCAACTGCCCACACCTCCAACACTTCTATGCCCGTCGTCTGTCCACTTTTTCCCAGCAAAGTAATTTCTCGAAGAGGAGACATTTCCTGGCCACCACGTAGTCCAGATTTGACCCCAATGGACTTCTTTTTATGGGGCTACCTCAAGAGTAAAGTGTACGACACCACTCCGCGATCAGTTGATGTCCTGAAAGAAAATATCCGAAGAGAAATGGCAAGCATTACAGTGTTGACTTGCCGCGCAGTCATCGACAATTTTAGACGTCGTTTATATGAGTGCCGTGATCGTAATGGATTGCATTTAGACGATGTGATTTTTAAAACATAATTCCCATTCAATAAAGATGATAACAAAATATAATAATTCTTCATAATGTAACTAGTTTGGTTTTATTCCTTTTTTTCCAGCTCAAAGGACCTATGGGCCACCCTGTATTATAAGTAACTAGATAATAAATAAGTTAAATATAGGTGTACCTCAAGGGTCAGTATTAGGTCCAATTTTATTCTACTCTATATCAATGATTTAATAAATGAAGCATAAATGGTAATCTCATAGTTTTTGCTGACGATACCACAATACTTTGGCAAGGCACAGATCTTTGTATAAATGAAATTGTGACAAAAACTGATTGTGATATACAATCAATTAAAAAATGGTGCGACAGCAATTACTTGAGTTTTAATGTTATTAAGACAAAATTTATGATATTTAAATGTTCCCTTGATTTTATGAACATAAATAATGAATTGGTACACCAAACAGATACCATCAAATGTTTGAGACTGACCATTGAGCGTAAATTAGATTTGACTAATCATGTAGACAAATTGCTTACTTAACTAGCAAAGATTTCCTCTATTATTAGAACAATTAGTTACAACGTAGCGAAAGTACAGCCTTGAACAGTTACGATGCCTTATTTGAAATTAGATTGACATATAGCAACTCATTTTGGTGTCTTTGTTGCAAAAATCGTTTAAAAAAGTGTTTATACTCGGTTTGAGATATATAACTAAAAGCACTCCTCGAGCTACCTAGACTTAAAATAATGACTGACGTATCCATTGTTTATTTAAGAAACGGCAACTCTTATTTCTAAAAATGAATCTAAATTTGAGACATTAAATATAAGTTAAAATATTAGACGAAAACAAGATCTTAAATTAGTAGTACCTAAATCAACACTTGTTAAACACTCAATAATTTATGATGGCCTGAAAACCTACATGTCTCTCCCAGGTGCTATCAGAACCATATTATACTATGTAAGAATGCTTCCTGCTTCATTTATCTAAGTATCTATAGGAAGATTTTGAATATTCCTCATTTTTTAAGTAAGCTTTATTTATTAACATGAATTGGATCACAAACTAATATATGAACATGTTTTTCACTTTTCAGCATAGTGACCATAAATATTTAAACAAGTCATGGCACCGGCTTTTGGATCCCGTCGGCAAAGAACACCGCCGCCTAAAAACCAGTTAGTAACTGTTTCTTTCAACATTTCATCTTTTCCACCAAGAATTTCCGTACGTTTTGCAATAAAAATAATCCGATGGTGCTAGGTCTTGGCTGTATGGTGGACGATTCAGTAATTCCTAACGAAGCTTGTCCGGTTCCGACTGTGTTCTTGCATGCCGGAACGTAAAGCCGAGCGTTGTCGTGAAGCAGAACGACTCCGCTAGAGAGTAGGCCCCGCCGGCGGTTTTAAATAGCGGAATAGCTTCAATAATAACTTCAAAAAGCTGCCAGGGCAGCAGGACTGAGCGCACTTCACAATCGGCGTTTCTACTGATTGGCATGGCGACAAGCAAAGCAGTCTGACGTTGAACGGGTGTCACGTGACAAGATGCGCGGGTGCGATTTGCAATCGAACCCCAGTTTGAAATGGCTCTCGTTATATTTTTCATTGCATTTTTGCATATACGGTGTAAGCAGTGAGATTTCCACTAAGGAGATAAGGTAAATTTTGATAATTTTACCTTAATGTCGGCAAAAACTGAATTTGTTTATTTTGGAGATACTTCGTCTATGTCCCTAAAGCAGATATCTCCCTGAAGTCCATAAAAAACAATGCAGATGAGTCCGCTCAATGAAGTACAGAGTACAAGCCTGAGTGCAAATACACGGAAATAGGTGGCATGATTTTTTGTAATTCGTAAAACGGATTTTATCAATTCCAAAAAGTCTGCGGTCATACTAATACTACACATCCATTTATTTTGTTTCCAAAGAGTAGATTCAGGAACTTGAAAAAGTTTAATTACGATGAAAATTAAGCTATTCCTATTATCGTTGTAAAAGCACAATATATTGAACATTCAATCTTTCAAATATAGCTCTGTAGTGCAGGTAGGATTCATTTTTGAGAACACAATCGAATCTTATAGGTGCTCTCTAGTTTTAAATTGTCTATTCGTCATTGTCTGTCAGAGCGGTCCGTAGGACCTTTGCTCTTTGTTAAAGTCTTGTAAGTCAGTAGGTTTGCCATGTCTGGTTGCCCTGATACTAAACAAAGTCAGGAGAAAGAAGGTAAGAAGAAAGGAAGGAAGGAGGGAGAGCAAAGAAAAAAGAAGTGCGTCAATTTGAGGGGTGCCTTGGCATTGCTAATTAGTATTCGGGAATTTAAATTGATCCTAAAATTAATTTTGAGATTGTTATTGAAGAAAAATTAGAATTTTGGTTGGACCTAAAGTCGCACGATTTAATTTTGTTCACAGTGCGAGTCGCGGCCTTGTGTGCTTGCGAACTTGCTCGACTGTGTAGTCTACTGACTCGCAAAACAAAGGGTTGTTATACGACTCTGCTTGACTATAACGTAGCTGCGCTTGTTGTTTAATGTAATGCCTTAGGTAAGAGATGTCAAGGTCTCTGTGAAGGGTCTCGTTGGAGACATACCATTGTACGCAAGGTTCTGTTCTGCAAAACCTGCAGGCTACGCAAATACGTTTCGGCGAGAAAACACTAGGCCGCACTTGCGTAAGTGATCGCTGGTCTAATAACCATCTTGTATAGCCGAACTTTGTTGATCAAACTTAATTTTAATGTTCTACATAGCATAGGGTAGAGTTGCCGAAACGAGATTTGGAATTTAGTTTTTAACGCTTCAGTGTGCTTCTGCTAGGTCATCCCCTAGTCAAGAGTTTTTAATTGTTTAAATGTGTCAGTTTGAAAACAAATTACCAGAAACCATCACCAAACAGTGACTGGAAAGGTCTTTAATGATGCCCATTACGTTCCATATTTTTTCTCGTTCTAAAACCGATAAGCCCTAAGTCAAATATTTCGAAAAACAAAAACTTACCTTCCATGTTCCTAACCCGAAGATAGGAAACTCCTCACCATTGTTGAATTTTATCTTGGGCGCTTGTGGCATAATCTTTGATAACGCGTCGGTCAACTCAAAACTAGATGTGATCGTCGAAAGTAATCGTTGGCAAGCAAGATTTTGTTATGCAGAAATGCATTGATGCAGTTTTTGGCAGTTTTCCCAATGTCACGTCAGATTACATTTAGGCCATAGTCGGTGCATCAGTAAGTTTCAGAAGGTTAGTTCAAATGTCAATAGGCGCATTCAGGGACTATATTATTATAAAAGCGCAGATCCAGGAGGGCCAATAAATCACCATATTTGGTGAAAGATCACCACACCGGCCAATCCTGATCAATTCGTAAGCAGAGAAATAAGAGGGTCGCGTAAATCTGGTTGCCTATACGTTTAGCTTGATCCAAATATTAATAAAATGGTGATTCTGCGTTTTTTCCGCTTGGTAATACTGCTTGTTCGTTAGTGCATTATTGGAAAGTCAGCCTTCTCACTAGGACGTCATAAGGTGCACCTCACTATACTTTAGACCATTTGTGTGTATCCTATTTTCTCAACTGTTGGCTGTAATACCCTTCGCCAACGAGGCATTATCATTTTTGAAATTCAGCCAAGTCGCATCCTCATGACAAAGGTGATGCGTAACTAATTTCTAGCTTTGAACAGACATCTACCAAATAAGCGAATTTGAGACAAGGAAACAAGGAAATCATCATCAAAACAAATTATTGGTACACTAATCATCACTGTGCGCTGCAGAGTTTCCTTCCAACTTAAGTCATCGGAGCTATAATGGCCTCCAATGGTGACATATCTGAAACAGTTGTTACATCACATTGGAGCTCAAGTGTAATGACGTTTAGGCAACACGCACAGCTACTACAAGTGAACATGAAGTGACAGCAGTTTCAAGGTGATTTAATGTCATTACAAATCGATATAATGTAACCTTTAAGTTATGTAATCCCCACGGGTATTACGTATCTTAAAAAGTGACAATATGTCGATTTTTTTGACATTATATTGTTTTTTTGTGACATTATTTTAGATTTTTCTACAAGATGTTAACTTAGCACTAGCTGATGGACACGTTGTGAACTCTTTTTGTAGTTGTACGTATTGTCTAAACGTTATGAGGCTTCATTTATCAGTGTTTGAGTCTGAAGTGATGTAAAATCAGAGATGGCATTACTGGATGTAACGGCAATGCATAGATAGATGCATAGTGAGGATTTGTGGGCTAATAATATGTTTTGCTGATAATTCCATTGGAATCGTGTTTAAAATACACTTACTTGAGACTTAAAGCTAGTCATTAGTTGCGCATCCACTTTTTTATCCATTTTGGAAATTGCATTTGCAAATTTGCTGAATTTCAAAAATGAGAGAGATAAGCAATAAAAATATTCACTGTACACTGTCGAATTACAAGTCATATACAGGCTAACAGCAATTACACGCAACGCGGACGCGGTGGTGATTTCCCGTATTTTTCCTCAAAGTTTTTGAAAACAAAAAAAAACGTAAGAAATCGTAATTTATAACTTTGAACATAAATTGTCTTCAGAAAGGACAAAATATAAATAACCCGTCGGGCACAGCAAATAGATAAACTTCACGGGCCTCATATTCAGTAATGATTTTCTAACACAGCGAATATCACTGATTTTATACTCATGCAGACCAATACGCACAATCATCCAGATGCGTTCTTGCTATTGAACCGACTTTATTCTCAGAGATGAAAACTATAGACTACTCTGCTTCAAAAACCATAGGCAACCAACAATGCGCTTAGTTGAGCTATTCCTCCATAGATGGACGCCCATAACGATCCTAGTGAGCAAACGTGGAATGACTGTTTGCACACTAAAAACTACCTAGTCCGCAAGATGACATTTTATAGGTTTTTTTACATAATACCCGTGCCTCTCCCTATATTGCACCTATGATAGAAAAATACTGTTTTTGGACTCCCAAAGGATTGCTGACCACTCCTCTCCCTCTCAAATGATATTGACCCCTTTTTGTTCAGGATACACAAAGCACAAAGAGAAAGTGCCATCCATTTTGGACTTTAGTTCTGAGAGGAGGTGCCAACCCCAAAGCCCCCATGAATATGCCTTGATGTTATGGACGGCCAAAGGAATTTTTCTCAGGGAGCCGATAATCGGCAAATTATGTGAAAGTGTCCTGTTTCCAAAACTTTTTGCGGACGCTAATGGATGCATTAGGATGTAGGTAAATGAAAAGTCCACGGTTTATTGTACACATTTATTTAAAAATATTAGAGGGTTACTTGTCACAAGTAGATATAACAAGAATATGCACAGCATTAATTAAAAAATGGTGAATTGGTGTTTGGTACACGTACAATAAACAGTCAAGTGTTTGGGGTTAATACCACAGTATGTTCAAATAATTATTACTTGCAGTATATTCATGATCATCGTGGAGAAGTTCAGTATTCATCATTGATGAATGGATGGTCCTTGTGTTTGTATGCACTGAAAATATATAAAAAACAGTATTAGCATCTTTGATGTATATTGTCTCTTCTATTAAAGATTCCATCCTTGACTCTACATTTTACTACCGCTTTCGTTATAATTTCCAAAATGAAAGAGAAAAATATAGCAAGAATGTTTGATAATCTTGTCTGGCACTTTTCTGCTATTAGAACTGAACAACAGTAAGCATAATTGGCTGCATAATTCTATATAATATTTTTCTTCGTTAACGGCTCTTGAAATTATACTTGTTCAAATAATATTGGTTTCTATAGCCTGTCACATTTGTCATAGTCCATAAAATTAAAATCGATTTACATCATCATAATTTGTTAATTTATTATGGTACTGGTTATACAGGGTGTCCCTATCTTCTCCTTTTTTCTACTCTTTCCCCCTCTCTTTTTTCTTGACATTGTCTGGTTTCTGGGCCACCAGGACTGGCAGACTCGACTAACGTAAATTAGACCGTGACTAATGGGCAAAGGTCCTCCTGACCGCCCAGACAAACAAATGACGGATAGTGGTAAGTTAAAATGTTCCACTCCTCAATGTGACAAAAATCCAATATCCGCATCTACGCATGTTTACACGAACCCCATTGGTGGCACAATAGAATAACTTTTTATAATAAAATATATCATTTTACATCTATGTATAGTATCTAAAATAAGTATAGTGATGGTAATATTATTTTAAGAATCACATCTATGAAAATTAGCACGTCATTAAGGAACACCCTCACACACTGTCAACGTTCTTTATAAGTAATATTTTATTTACTGCTCTGTATAGTTCGACTGCACTATTATAATGCATTATTTGGTGCAGTTTTGTAATAGATTTCAGTACAATACTTACTCGTCATATGGGCAAATCCTTCCATTGCAGTCAAAGGTGTCAATCAAAGCGATATCCTGAGGAGTCAATTGGAAGTCCCAAATGTTGAAGTTCTCCTCAATCCTCTTTCTGTTAACAGATTTGGGGATGGTGATACATCCTCTTTGCACCTGGTACCTCAACACGATCTGAGCGGGTGTCTTCTTGTATTTGTCTGCGAGGCTCTTGATCTTGGGATCGTCCAGCAGTTGTGGGTCACCAGGTTTGGCCCATGGCCTGTCGGGGGATCCCAATGGACTGTATGCGGTCACGATGATGTTTTTGGATTTGCAGAATTCGATCAGCTTCTTCTGGTTCAGGTATGGGTGAACTTCAATCTGAAAATAGTTCCAGGCGATTCTAGTTGCCGTCATGCTTATGTTTGTATCATAGCTAATTATAGATTAGAATGTGATTGAAGGAAATAGAAGCTCTACTAGATCTGCCGCCGTTGCACATTTGGACCAATGAACACAGTTACCAGTAGAAGAAGCAATCTTTCGAAAAACATATCCTGCCGCGGTGACTGAAAAGCTACCTGCCACCTGCTGTGATAGTGCAGGAAGAATCTTCGCATCTGCACGGAAAAGAATTCTGATTAGGTTTTTTGCACAACCTTAATAAAAAAGAAAAACAAATTTGGACGCAATTTTAGGTCTGGCAACATAGAGATTCATTAAAAGGTGTCTTCTTTGAATGATACTATGCGAAAAAACGATCATAATATTTTTTCAAGCAGATGCGAAGAAACTTCCTGTACTATAACTACACAGGTAGTCGATGGCCGGCATCCGATCCCGTCGGCGAAGTGGATCGCGTTGGATTTTCTATGACATGTTGATGTTACGTGCCTGGATGCAAAATAAAGGAGAGAATAATGGTGTTCGGATGTTTCGTTGCCTTGCTAATGATTTCAGACGAGTTGTTATTCCAGCATACTTGGAATCCATTTTTTCATACAGGAGCTCAGGTCGAGGTGTAATTGATGAAGGAGATCCGCCCAAAATTTATCTATGGCATTTTATAGCAAAATGCAATAGTTTACCTTGCCGATATGAATCGCAAACCATTTCGGAAGATGAATGTTATTTTTATGCAAAAAGATGAGGCTCCAGTAATTCCTGGATATACCGTGCCGTGGACATACGTCTTTTTTCGCAGTCAATCCGTCATTTTTTTCCGAGCCTCATGTTTTTTTAAGATCTGAATAAATGTACAGATTACATAAAGTAAATGTTTGCCGAAATCACTTGAGTGCAGCTGCCATCTCTGCATTAAATTAAATCAGTGTCAACAATGATTTGTCAAATTCGGAAGATAAATATAGTAAACAAACTGATAGTTCTGCCATAGTAACAGTATATTTTCATTACCGAGTAAGAAATTATCTTTGTTTGTCTATTTTTTTATCTCTAATCTATTTAAAAGCTCGTTAATATAATCGACCTTATTTCATACGGTGAGTTAGCTAGTACATATTTTTGAGTCCGATCTGATATTCACAAAAAAAGTCCTATGGGTGCCACGTACTTGAAGGCATTTTTCGACGATCAATTTTTAACTGTTAAATGGAATTTTTGTAATGTCGGAACAGCGAACCTGCGATATATTCTCAAATTAGATTATATTTACGATATTTTTACATCATGATGATAAACCATGTAACCTACACTATTTTCAGTTCAAGGTTAAGTATTTTGGGCGTATTGTCCGACTAAGCACGTAAAGGAAATTTTTAAACGTGTTTAAGCTGAGTATACTTGAAAAATGAGTGTTCAATACGTTGACCTTGACATTACTATAAGAATATATCGTATTTTGAATGCAGCACTCGCATAGAGCAGGCTGTGTAGCCAAAATCAAACCCTATTCTACAAAAAATTGTATAGATATATAAAATGTTGCTGAATCTCTTTTATTGGACGCCAAAGATGCAAAAGTAACTTGTTTATTTCATGATGTATATAGAGATGACTAAAAACCATCGTTTTTAATTTTATTTTGTCATAAAATTTTTGTGCATTTTATTGTGGATTTTTTCTTCCATCGTAACTTGTTAACAAATATTAATACAGCTCTGAAATTGTATGTAAATATTCCACTTCTATGGAAGTATGAAACAAGTGATTACTTTTATCCTTATCACTTTTTCTCTTCGAAAAATCTTTACTTTTTCTTGAAAACTCAACTTGCTGCGAGACGAGGCTTCAAGGAAATCAAAGATTTTTCGAAAAGGAAAAGTGATAAGAATAAAAATAATCCATCCTTATAAAAGAGGAATATTCGCACACAATTTCAGAGCTGTACTTAAATTTGTTAACAAGTTCCGATTGAAGAAAAATGCACAAAAAAGCATTTTTTAATAAAAAAATGAAATCATTGTTTTTTAGTCATCTCTATACACACCATTAAATTATCAGATGGAAAGGATTTAGAATACCGCTGCAAACAGGTAGTTGAACAAAATCAAAAAAAGGGATCCCTAAAAAGATTAGTGACAATTATAAATTTTGAGAATATGTTGAGCATTTTTGGTGATTTTTTATATTAATCACTACAAAGCACAGGCTTTAATTTTTCGCTGTTATTACATAGTTTCTGTAATAAGCTTTTTGGTAAAAGATAAAGAAAACTAACGATTTTTTGTGAGATCTGATTTTGATTATAATTTTTGAATATTTAGGAAACAGCTATTTTTCAACTGTGAGGATTTATAAAAAAGTTACCCAGCAAAATCTTTTGTCAGTGAATAAAATTGCCATAATCACCAAGAACAAGTTTCTGTGTCAAAACCTGTCTATGAATTTTTTTCTGAAATGCTAGATATCTTGATCTATAATGCAAAGTAGGTTACGAATGTGCAACACAACAGCTCAGCATAACAGAACATAATCTCCCAAAAATTTCATTCAGCACAATGAGTGGTCAAAAGTTGGTGAAGTTTCTTAAAGGTTTGCTGTAGGGTTAACGTTGTTTTATTATTAGTAGCTTGGTTTTTTTTTGGTTTGTATGTCCCTTTTTTCAACATCCTACCTTGAAGAGTATTCCTAATTCTTTCCGTCTGATTGATTCATAGTGTGTATAGAGATGACTGAAAATCAATGTTATCGGCTTATTTTTTGTCATGTGCATTTATTATGTATTTTTTTCAATCTTAATTTGTTAACAAATAGTAGTACAGCTCTAAAATTCTACGTAAATATTTCACGTTTATGAAACAATGGAGCGGGTAACTACTTTTTTATCTCATCTCTCTTCAAAAAATCTTTGCTTAAACTCAATTTGCTTCAAAATGAGGTTTAAAAACATCAACGATTTTTCAAAGCGAAAAAGCGATAAGAATTAAAGTAATTACCCGCTCAATTTTTCTATAAAAGTTAAATTCTGACATACAATCTCATGCATTTTATAGCAAAAAAATTGATCATCATCTATATACACAGTAAACAAATTTTTATGAAAAGGATTTTGAATACTGCTCCTAACAGGCAGTTGAAAAAAGGGACATGCAGCATTAACTAGAAGCAGATCATGACTGCCCATCACGTCATCGACTTAGCAAAGCAGATAATTAACTTCACAAGTCTAGATATCTCGAGGAAATATCCCTTGAGGTCACAAATCAAAGGTTGTCAAACTCTGTCTACTGTCAAGTTTGAAAAGCAATTATACTTTTTTTAGCGCCGTAGAAATTACTACTACCAGCGCAAGGGGACGTTATGGCCCAATTTGAGAAATATTGGTCTAAATGATTACAATACCTGGTTTGTGACTGGTGCAATGGTACAATTGGCCAACACCCTTTCCAACTGTTTCTTGTTGAAGTTGGATACGCCAATGGAATGTGTCAAACCCTTCTTCTGAACCGCCTCCATGGCCTTCCATGTGTCCAGGTAGTCTACGTCACTGAAGGCTGTAGTGCCATCAGAGTTGGTTGGGAAAAGTTCCTCAGTTCCTTCCTGAAGAAAAGCATCGTTTCATGTTTCTTCAAATATTTGCTCAATAATTATTGTTTAATGCAAATAAAATATAACCAGTTAAATAAAAAAAATACGTTATTGAAAACAAGCATTTATTTGGATGTTAATGGAACGAACCAAGAATTTATAAATATAATTCTTTGCGATTTCTATTATATCATTAAATATTGTAAGAATAAATGAATAACTTAAAATTAAATTTATTTTGTTAATATAAAACATATTGAGGGAAAAATCATCTAGTGTTAATAATTTTTTTGATTACAGTAAATTTATTTTTAAGATTTAGACGATACCGTTAAAAATTATTTGCTTGGGGAGAAGTAGACAATTTGGAGTCGGGGGTTCAAATTTGTATTTAATATATGGTGATTTATTGATATGATTTGTTCCTTCATTGCTAATTGATAAATGAAAATATATTTATTAATTTTTGATTATTAATTAAAACTTTTAGGTTTTTGTAAAATCAAATATTATCTAATATAATAAAAGAAAAAATATTTTGTCTTATGTTTATTTTTTTAGGACGAAAGTAGGTTTTTTTAGCTTTCTTTTTTATATGTAAACTTTTGTTATAAATTGGAATTTATTTAAAAAACATTTGAAATAGTTTATTCGCAGTAAGTAAAATTAAATTTTAAAGAAATTTAGATTCAGGAATAGAATTTAATATTAACAAAATTTGAGCCAGCAGTTGCGGTTATACAAATAATATACATTATTAAATTTATTAGGTGAAATTTTAAATTTTATATAAAATTTAAATTGTAAAATGGAGCTTGGAAATTTGAATTTAGACTAGGATTAGATATCCTATTATTAAAAATGCTTAATTGTATTAGTTATGTTTTTGAAAAATGAAAGATTTGGCGGTATTCAAGTCCTTTCAGAGGAACCTGTTCTATAATTGATAGTCCACGATTAGACAAACTCTATTTATTAGTTTACATATCGTCGTAGTTTAAATATTTTAATAAAATTATAATGTTGAGATTTTTTATTCAGATCAAGCTGTAGTTTATAATAAAGTAGACATGGGTTACAATAAATTTATTTGAGGATAATTTTTATTAAAAGAAATTTGATATCAGATTGAGAGTAATTTTTTATTTTTTTTTTTAATAATTTGAGCTCTAAAATATTCACATATCGCTCGTCGCTTTCTTTTAAAATAAAATAAGTCGTAACAAAGTAGATGTACTGGAAAGTGTCTCTAGAAAGACAAGTTAGTGCTTGATAAAAGAATTTTATTTACATTAAAAAGTTAATGAAATTCAATTCACTTGGAAATTTATCATTATTAAAAATAAAAAGCAATAATGAAGCACTTTCATCTAAAGTTTTCAAATAAATGCGTATTACAGCATTTTCCATCTAGCTCTTAAAACGCAGCACGTTTTTATTTGAACCGTTGAGATGATGGAGCTTCATTATGGTTTAAATCGGGAAGAATTAGTTGTAAATATTATTTTCTTTTTTTTTGTATTTATGTCAAATAATTAGTTTAGTAATTTCCATATAATTGTCATATCGATATTGGATTTAAAATAGCTTCAGTCGACTTATTATGTTTCCATGATCAAGCCCTTTGATTTGATATCTATATCATGGGGATTATGAACTCCATCTTGGGGCGCTCGCCATATTGGATTAAAAATGGCGTCACTTTGCTTATTGTGTTTCCCTCTTCAAGCCCTTTTATTTGATACCCATAGTATGGAGGTGGCTATGGAAATTGTAACTTGCCATCCAGCAGCCGCCACCATATTATATCCAAAATGACGTCAGTCGGCTTATTATGTTTCCATCATCAAACCCCTTTGATTTTTCTTGGGGCGCTCGCCATGTCAGATTTAGAATGACGTCGTTGTTTATTGTGTTTCTCTCATCCAGCCCTTTCATTTGATACCCATATCATAGAGGTGACTGTGAAAAATTCAAATTGCCATTTTGCGGCTGCTGCCATATTAAATTTAGAATAACGTTACTTTGTTTATTGCATTTCTCTCATCAAGCCCTTCTATTTGATATGCATATCATAGGAATTACTGCGGAAACGACAATTTGCCATTTTGTAGCTTCCGCCATGTTGGATTCAAAATGGCTGCAGTTGACCTAAACGTGTATATACGATTTTAGCTCAATTGGTTCAAATTTCACTTCCGAAGTTTGTCCCACACATACTAAAAAACAAACGGATCAAGTTAAATAAAAGCTTGTAATAATAAAAATTCACAATCTTTGTCTTTTGAACGCTCGGCGTGAGATTTATCTGACAGTGCGGGACAAGACGTTCACAGCTCATCAAGTGCCTAGACATAGTTTATCTTAAGACCTATTCATTCTAATGTTACATCAAACTACCTTCATTGCAAATGGCCAATGGATCAGATACAGGTCCAAGTATTCCAGTCCCAAGTGTTGCAAGGTGGTCTTAAGAGCTGGTTCTACCATGTCAGGCCTGTGCATGGTGTTCCATAGCTTGCTTGTGATGTAAAGGTCCTCCCTTTTGACGGTTCCGTCTGCGATTTTGGCCTTGATGGCGGCACCTACTTCTTTCTCGTTACCATAAACGTGAGCGCAGTCAATGTGCCTGTATCCGACGTCAATCGCATCTTTGACTGCCTGGGTTACTTCACCGGGTTTTGACTAGAAAGAAGAGGTTATATTTGCATAAAATGGTCAATTGGTTAGTCAAAATAGCGATAAGTATGCTACCACCGAACAGCTCAGGTAAAGAAAAACATTCGAGGTTGCAAAATAAAAATTCGAAAAGAACACGTGAAAATCATGGATATTAAGTAAGTCCCCCTATCATATCAACTTTATGTTTTAAAAGGAACTAAATGGTTCATGTTCATCATTTAGAGAAATGAGGTATGATGATGAGTTGTGAATCGCCTGCAAAAAATTAAATATTGCATTTGTTTAAATCGGAAGAGAAACAGAAGCGGCCACAGTACTGAGCCTTGTGGTACTCCCGAGGAAATCAAACATTCAGGCGAAGAGTCTGTATCAATAACGACTCTCTGAGACCTATTTGTGAGGAAGCTACTTATCAATTTCAACGAGTTGTTGCAGAAACCATAATATTTCACTTAGATATCAAAAATTGGTGATTTATCCTATCTAATGCCTTGGTAATGTGTCACTTGTTGATAGTCCCAGGCTTTAACAATTTTGTCGATTAGGCCCAATAATGTTCCAGCGGCATTATAGCGTTTTCTAAAACTACACTGCTTATCACTAGTTTCTAAAACTAAATCATTGATTTGGATATAAATTGCTTCTTCTAGTTGTATTGTTGGTTTTTGGTATGGGTAAGACGAGGGCTTTTTTACCACGAATTTGGAAACACACTTTTTTCTAAACAGGTATTTATTATATGTGTAACGTAGAGAGAGATACACCATCAGTGTCTGAGGCATTTGAAAGGTACCGGGGGATAACGACAATAGTCCATCCGGACTGATTTTGAGAAAATCGGTAATTGAGGTTTACTTACTTGTTGGAAAGTAAAATTGATGAAAAAATAAGTCGTAAAGAATATCTCTGCTAAATAGTGTGTTTATTGGTAAAATAGATTTTACAAAATGCACTTTTACTCAAAACTAGTAACGTAACAAACAAAAGATGATGTTCAACTGTGGACTCGTGCCACTTTTCCCTTTAAGATTCTATTGGCGGGTCATCGACGTATTTATCACTGCTGTCTTCTGAATGATCAAGAGATATTAACTGTTGATAAATTGCCCTAGAATCTGCTCTCTCTAGAAATTTGATCCTGCAGACCCTTCCATTTCTTACTTTTAACTCGGATTGGGCCCTGGTAAAGTTTTCTCAATGTTTCCTCTTTTCGTTTGTGTTGATCTTTTTGCGTCTTTTTTAGATTCTTCTGAATTACCTTATCAAATTTAAAATTAGCATATAGGCCCATGTATGTCGATATGATAAAACGGCGATAAAAATGTACTCCAATCTTGAAAATCCAAATTTTTACCACAATCAATGACTTCAAATGGTGTAGGTTTCACACGGCAATTTTTCAATTCATCTCTCCAGGCATCCGGTACCTCAGTGTATGCTCTTTGGTTCACGAGACTCATATCTCTATCACACTCGAGGTATGAATGCCCCCTGATCGGGAATATTCCTTTCACAGTAGTAAAACGATTTTTCTTGGTAACAAAGTAATGCAAAAACCGAATAACTGTAGAGCTTTTATTTTGGCCTGCACAGGAGTCACAGAAAATGTCAAGTTCTTTTACTTCCATAGGCAGGATATTATAAAAAAAGTGATACAGCATAGAACAGACATTGTCAGTTCCTTTCTTAGCAATAGATTCATCGTAGGTATAAAAGATAGAATTTGAGTTTGACAGAATGTGGATATTAAAACGATATTTAGATTTTCAGGTAGGTACGGCCGATTCAACGCCGCCTTTCCATATGAACTGATTACGTTTTTCCATACACGCGCAGGGACTCATGCCATTCTTCCCCGGCACAGGAAATCTTATAGCTGCTGTTTTGTGAACCTAAACCCTTTTCACAATCTAAGAAGTTGATTACAAGATAACATCAGGAAAATGCCACCAAAATAAACTGAAAGCTCAATTTAGCCAAATAACGGACTAATACCGTTTTACCCCGGCACCCTTCATTTGATTTCAATTAATGGAACATAGAAGATATCTCTTCATGGCTGATGGGCTTAAAATTCAGTTCACGCTCAGAAAAAATAGTCTAATTTTCAACTGTACGATCACAAGGTTTTATTGAAAATCGAACAAAAATTTAAACCAATGAAATATTTCCTGAATTGTCCGTGTTAGAACTAACTGTGCGTGTCCATACGCCGTAACTAATCATGCTAACTATACAATATATCATACTAGGCCTGGTCGGCAAGTTCTTCCCTAATTTTTCTGGGTTCTAAATTAGAAAATAATTAGTCAAGAAGCAGTACGTGTTTAGAACTTTTCCACTGAAGGTGACACAATATACGAGTATTTTCTGGAATATTACAAAGTACATTCATAGAACTGGTGATTACTTCAACGCTATCTATAATTGATATCCTATCACAGCCTGTTTTCAGGTGCTTCGATAAGGAAAGTAACTACTCCATTGGAGCATACCCATTGCTAACATGGAATATACCCATTTTTAAAATTAACACATATTCATAATACTTGAGATTCAGCTTTTGCTTTGCGTTTACGTTAGAAACAATGCCTTCATATTTCAATATGCTGAAATCGAATTTTATATAAAAGATGGAGTTCTACTTCCCATTTTCCTAAAATTAAGTAATATCCAATCCGTTTGTTCTCGATATTCCCTGGTTAGACAATAGATACTGACAATATAAATTGTAAAATCCACAAGTGTGAAGTTGATATGTGCCATCAAAATTAACTTTCTGGAGTCACTGCATCTAATCAGATTTAGAATTGCACGAATCTTGAGATATTTTCGGGAAAAATTGCATCATTATTATTATTATTATTATTATTATTATAATTAAGATGAGCAGAGTACACAGTACTATAAGCTCATGCAGTAAATATGGTGTACGGACACGTAACACAAATACATCAAATAGAAAAAAATAAGAAAAGACAGTTCATAGCTATAAAGTTTGTACACTCCTCCAGCTATCATACTGCACTTTGAAGCTATTAACTGAAGTAGCACCAACCACACTTTCAGGTAAACTATTCCAGGTGTTGAATATGCGGTTGGGAAGAAACCACTGTCGTACTGTTGTTTTAAATAGCTTCTTATGCAGTTTGAAGCTGTGTCCGCGTAGATTGCTGCGCGACAGACGGTATAGATGCATGAGGTTGGTGCCCATCAAACCATGAAGTATCCTGAACGTAACTATAAGATCGCCACGAAGTCTTCGCTCAGGTTGAATAATTCAAGGCGATCTTCATAGCTTGGTCTTCGTGCTCCAAAAGGGATACGAGTAGCCCGACGCTGTACTGATTCGACGAGATTTCTATCGCGCAGAAGCACAGTGTCCCATACCGGGCCAGCGAATTCAAGAATTGGCCTAACGAATTCCTTGCAAATGTAGGCGCAAGTGTTGACATCGGATCCTTTGAAAGACCTCTCCAGCATGTATAGAAGTTTCTTGGCTTTTGATGTAACGTGGTGAATATGCTCTGACCAGGAAAGACGATCGTTGACTACAACGCCCAGATCAGTGTGGCTGGAAACTGCTTCGATGTTGTGGTCAGAGATCTTGTATGTAAATCGCGGATTTGTCTTCCCGAGGTGAAGGACACAACACTTAGTTAGATTTAAGGGTAAAAGCCAACTGACTGACCATTGACAAACAATATCAAGATCTCGTTGAAGCATAGCAGAATTTACGACAGTCTTGTAAATCTTGGTGTCGTCGGCATAAGCTGAACATGTGGAGGAAATCAATGCGGGCAGGTCACTTGTATACAGAAGGAACAGCACTGGCCCCAAGACAGAGCCCTGAGGAACTCCACTTGCTACATGATGAAGGTGAGACTGGCTATCACTGACGCGCACAGAGAAAGTCCTCCCGGTGAGAAAAGCCTTAATCCACAGTAACAACTCGCCTCTTATTCCCATACATTCCAACTTAAACAGAAGCCTTCTATGTGGTACGCGATCGAAAGCCCTAGAAAAATCATGGAGGTTGATTCCGTACTTTCCATGCAGAAATATGTTCGGTATAAGTTATAGCCTCTTTGGGAAAACGACGAACATGTCAGATACGCTCATCCAAACAAAGTAAAGACATATTGAATAGCTTCGCGGTAGACTGATCTGATCCAAAGTAAATGGCTGTGCAAAAGTATCAGTAATTCGTTGTTGGAAAGAACCGAATTCGTCCCCAGTTCCAAGGCAATTGACAAGCAACGGCAACGTTGCCGTCGGAGTGGCGATACATTTCCCGACGCGGGTCTAGTCAAAATCGCGAAAGATGACTATTACGTCATATTGTAAATTGTACTGAAGTAATCAATGGACGTACGTAGATGTTAAAATCACGATGTCAGGAACATAATGACAACAAATTTATATTATAATTTTGCGAAGTTAGGTTATTTCACTGATTATTGTTATTGTCATTTTATATCATGCTTTTGAGTTATATCTTAATAATAATTTTAGTGGGGAGCTTTTGTTTTGAAAAAAACAGTTATGAGTAGAATACCTTAAGACAGGAACATCAAAGACCAAAGTATTATTCGAAAACAACATAACCTGCTTTAACATAACCTAACTTTTCATCTTTCAAATATGATCGATCATGCAGCATGAAAGATAATAAAATTCTGTTTGTCTCTGTCTAACATATCAGAAACTTCATTAAATATATTCTCAAATCGCTGTCGTTTGTCTTTACTATATACTAAAATGATGACGTAATCGTCATCTTTCGTGATTTTGACTATATCAAAAATGTCTTTCTACCGTATGGTACTCGAATGTAAACCGGAAGAATTTAACACAGAAGTCACATTTAAGTAAGATAGCAAAAGAACGCTCTTATTTTCTGAGGTTCCGATGATAGCAAACAAAAAAATTGCGTCAAGTAGGTTGACTCAGCACTTCCCACGCAGCGTTGTCATCAGTTTATAAACGATTATGTTCGGAAGAAGTTGGTCCCTCTGAACTAGCAACATACATGTATAACGAAAAATTAAATGGAATAAGTCAGCCAAACAGGCACATTCAATTAGTCCATACCACATAGTGCCCACTCATTTGATAATGCTAACGTTAGTTTCTCCCCTGCTCTAAGTATCGACCAGTTTAGTTAGTTTTAAGGGCAAATGTACCGGGAAATCTATGATGTGTGAAATATATTACTGATAGGTGCGTAAAATTATTTAGGTTCGGAGTGTATAAATATAGTGCTGCCAAAAAAATTATATATACCCTCCCCCACCTCCAACAAACTTTGGGACGATCTAAAAGCTATTGTCATTTTTACTGATAACAGCGCTACTATTTGAGTGATTTTCAAAATTAAATAGCATTACCTACGATGACCTCACATGGATTGTGCGTGTTGTAGACATCGCAAAACAGAAAACATTTATCTGAATTTTAGAAATTTTCGCATTCAGTCTCTGATACCGCTCGCTCTTCAAAATGTTTTGAGGGTAGGTACAGTATTACAGAAAGGTAACTCTTGTCGATGAGAAAACATGCGGCGTTCATGGTCAATACGTTATAATCTGTATTTATAAAAAACTGTTCCGCTAGCTTATGTTTACCACTTCACCTAATTTTCAAACTATCATTAACTCAAAGAGTCTTTCCA